CCCCCCACCTCGTGAGGTATGTATGTGTTGTCTCGTCTCGTCTGTCTGTGCCGGCAGTGTTCGTGTGGGTGCGTTTGAATGAAAAAACCAACCAACCGACTGAGAGGGAACCAACGAGTGTGTGTGTGTGTGTGTGAGTACGTGAGTGCATCGCATGGATCGGATCCAGGCGGTCGGCGCCCATTTTTGATGGCTCCCACCCACAATTCCACCCACCGGTGCATTCATTCATGTCAGTCATCACGTGTGTGTGTGGCCATGCATCATGAGTGAGCGCACTCATGTGTGTTGTGTGCATGAGTCCGACCGATCTCAGTCATTTATACGTGCCCCCCATACAGTACCCCACCCCCTCGCTAGCTAGTGCATCCGTCCGTGCATCCGTACGTCAGTGAAAGCATTTGCGGAGCGAGCTCTGCGTGTCTTGGGGTGTCTTACTAGCTTCACGGTAGAAACAAGTGTGGTGTGGACGAGACGAGACGACCTGAGAGGTGACCGTGAGAATGATTTGATAAGGGCCGTCCACTGCGTTGATTGATTGACTGACACACTGTCACGTCCTCGTGCAATGCAATGTCCGAAACGATCGATGGACCAATGAATAACCTACCGTGCCGTGGCATCTGCTCTCTCATATCCGTTGGTTGACACGACACACTTTCCTACTTCAGGCAGGCAGGCAGGCAGGCAGCCGAGAAAATCACCGTAGTATACTTATCATTAATGATCGATCACACACACAACGAACAACCATCAGGCAGCGGTATCACTCACCAAGCTCGCCACCCCTTCCTCGCCTCCTCGTCTGTCCGGCAAAACGTCCTCGATCAAAAGACTGACGGAAGTATCAAAACGGAGGCGCCACACTTACAGATAAAAGTACGATAGCACACACACACACACAGACAGGTGGGTGGGTGAGTGTGTCAATCAACCAATCTCCCACACTCGTGGAGCAAGCAATAGAGCGACCGTTGGCAGGCAGGCCAGCAGCTGAGCTGCACACAGATGGGTGGGATGAATGCACGCTGTGCTGTGGCCCACAGCGGGAAAAGGGATACACACACACACAGACATACACGCAGAAGTGGGTGCATTATAATGACTGACTGACGGGTGTGCGGGGGGTGCAATCGAGGGGCAACGGGCGTGCGTATGTCATGTCATGCAACGACTAGAGCCACACACACACAAAACAGAGCACAGCATAGCGTGGCGTACATGTAAGAAATACTCTCTCTCTCTGTTCCCCCATTCATTCATTCATTCATTCATGAGCTTTTGTGGCAGGCGGGTCGGGCACTCTGTCTGCGGGGCCCTCCACCCACTCCCGCCAGTCAAGGCCAGGCCACCGAAACCACCCACGGACACGAAAGAGGTCGCCAATGAATATCAATCCTATCCACCGACCGGTATGGTATTTGTTGTTTGAGGGGAAAACGACACACCGGCCTCAAAAACACCGGTCTGTCGGCATTTCATTTCCCATCACACGCCCACCGCTCATCTACCTGTGCCCATATGCACTCAACCAACCACACCCACACCCACCCACTAAGTACTCGCTCGTCTCTTTCCCACAGGACGTCTCACGTCTCGATCTGCCTGTCCGTCTGTCTGTTCTTCCACCGGTCTATCTTATCTATCGCCCCAGCCGACAGCAAGCAGCACAGCATGCATCGATGCTCGTTGATGCCCCGACACGACACGCAAAGATCACTTGTGCGATAGATAGATAGAGGTACGTGGAACTGATGCGATAGGCAGACACAAACAAGTCACACCACAGACACACACAGGCAGACAGACAGACAGCCAGAGAAGCCGAGCCCCCCAGACACACAAGTGGATGGACTTGACTTACTTCCGGTACCCATCGTGTCGGTCGTATTCATTGCGATCCCCAGTCAGTGGGTGTGTAGGTAGGATGCATAGACATGCGTACGAAGCGATAGATGGCTGGTCTCTATCTATCGCCCCTCCCCGTGCGATGGATGGATGGATGCGCAAGCAACGGCTGACTGACTAGAAAACGGGAGGCAGACAAGCAGACATACAGACAGCAAGACAGGGACGTAAGACACCCCACCAGAAATTTGGTACACTCACTCACTCCCTCACTCACACGCTTAGACATACGTACAAGGACGGCTAAACTCCATGCATTGCAATGCATCCCATCCATCCTTACGCATGGATGCATGCACATCTGTCTGTCTGTATGAGTGCCCCTCATTGCCTCCCAAACGTTTGCCCATTCATTCATCCATCAAACGGACGCTCCCACCCTCATGAATGCATTGCTTGCAAGGCAGCAAGACAAGACACACACCGGACCAGGCAGGCAGGCCACGACAAACGTTTCTTCCTCGTGTCTGCTCCATCCCTTCCCATCCATCCCTCCCTACCCCACCCTCATTAAATCACCGCTTTCATGCCGATGACCAGGGCAACGGACGTGAGCATGAACGCCATGAGAGAGGCCGGGCGCGTGTGTGGCGTTGCAGCAGAGGTGCCCTCGCCATCGGTGACACCCCCCTCTGCGGCATCGTCTGCGGCTGTCTCCTGCTGAGTCTGTGGGAGCTTGCCTTGGTCGGCCCACCAGGTCCACCCAGCTATCCACAGGTCACTACTATTGAATGCACCTGCCAGTGTTAACAAAGCAAGCAAAGAAGCAAAGACGACGCAGTGAGGAACAACCAAACCATGCAGTGCACACGGGACAGGGCATGAAGGACATGTGGGCGTGTCTGTCTGACCTTTGAAGCCCACTTTGTCGAAGAACGGATCGTCAGAGAGCGTGTCGTCCAAATCACTGCAGTCACCCATGATGGCCAGACACGCACAACCACAGACACACCATCGGGCACATTGGGGTGGGGAGTGGTGCAGCACAGCAACCAGGTGCGGTGCATTCATTTGTATGTATGTATGTGGCTCACGAGAATGCGGGTGACCCGGCAGCGGGTCTGGGATCGAACAGGTCGGCGTCCTCACGGCCGTCCACACACGGGTCCACCTGACACACATCACATGACATGCATCGATTGATTGCATTGACACACCACACCCACGGGGAGCGAAGGGACGGCATGTAATGTACCTATCTATCTATGGCTGTCCATCCGTCTACCCGTGTGCATGTGCGTGTGTGTGCCACAGAGAGAGACGTACGTTTGCGAGTTGTGGGTCTTGGCTGATGTACTGGATGGTGGGGGGCTCGATGTCGCTCTCCGAATGGACGGCATCGTCCACGTTGAACAGCACATTCGACGGACTCAAATACAGAAAGTCAGGGAAGGCCTCATTCCCGGAACCGCTCACACTCAAGCCCTACCCACATGCAATGCACGCCAGGCCAGGCCAGGCCGCCCCATACGAACAAACAGGTGTGTAGAGCACCCACCGTAGACGCATACGTACTTGAGTACCTGGGTGAAGTTGGCCGCCCCGGCATCCTGGAAGTGTTCGAACATGAAACCGGCGGGCGAGTGGGCGACGATCATGTTGGCGAATGTGCCGCCCAGCCCCTCCCTGAAGTGGGCCATCTTGCTGTGCTTGACCTTCCTGTCACACCCGTCCTTGCTCGACCCCGGGCCCAGCAGGGTGGCGTGGCTGATGATGGGGTGGGAGCGGGGCGAGGCCGTGTAGTCCTTGCCGTTGTTGTCCATCTCGAAGGCATGGTCGGTCAACGAGTCGTCGCCCACGGCGATGTCCTTGCACAACACCACCAGCAGATACTGCACGCGGCCCTGGTAACCCTGATGTGATGCGTGTATTGGAGTCGGCAACCAAAAGACAGACAGATAAGTGAGACGCATATACTCCTCATGCCCCGCCTGCCTGTAAGAACGTCTGTCTCTTTTGTGTGTGTGTTGACCTCATCGGCGTCGAGTGAGTCGTCGCCATTGCACAGCAGGGACACGTACTTGAGGTCGACCTGTACAAAGACACCACACCACACGGCCCCACACAAGTGCAGTCAGACAGACAGACATGTAAACCCGACCACGCATCCCATTCCATCCGGCCTGCCTGCCTGCCTTACTTACCGTGCCTCCGAAGAATTCGATACCGTCGTCGTAGTTGAATGCCACCTCCACGTGGTCCACCTTGGTGGCGCGACCCACACCACCAAACGTCAACCCGTTGATCTCATTCGCGCGCCACAACTCTGTATGTATGTATGCATGGAATGAATGCACATCATATCCACGTTGATTGATCGACCTGACCTTGTGTTTGTGACCTCACTGCAGTGCACCTGACTGACTCACTAGTGACTGACGTACCGGCTCCTCCGTGCCATATCCTGGTGTAGTGGATTTCTCCGCTGCTGTCGTCGGGGTCGGTGCCGCCGAAGGTGGCGTTGCTGAGGCCCTCGATGGCGTCCGAGGCGCCCTTGTTGGTGGGGGCTCGGCCCAGCACGATGATGCCACCCCAGAGCCCCCTGGCGTTCTGCATGGCCTCGGGAGGCTGGTTGGCCGAGAAGGTGATCGGCGCATCCCTCGTCCCCATCGCCTGATTGATATCCATGTGTCATGAATGCATCAATGCATCAATTGACAGGCACATACGCACGCGCATGCACAGACGCGTTTGGTTTGATGGGTGTAGGGCAGGTAAGGCAACGCAGTGTGGTCTCACTCGTATGGTGGCGCCCGAGTTGATGATGAGGGCCGTCGTGTACCTGACACACACACACACACACACACACACACAACCACAGACACATGACTGCACGCGGTCAGTCCGTCTTTCTTGTCGATCGACGTCATTCATGTGCTCGCTCACCCCCTGCTGTCGAAGGTCTCAGCCTTGACCGTCACACCTGAATCGACGCGCACATAGACACACAGGCCTGCATCATGAGCTGCATTCACTGCATTCAGCCATCCTGGTGCCTGACGGGTGGATGGATGATTCGCACACACAAGCGCGCACCGGGTTCGATGTAGAGTTCTGCCGGCTCCTTAACGTAGATCTGCTCCGTCAGCAAATAGGTGTTGTCAGCGGTCCACCGCGCATCCTCTGCACACAAGACAACACCGCAAGCACAGCCACCCCCAACAAATGCCCAGATGAGTCAGTCACACATTCATCAGATCTGTGCATATATCTCTCTCGCCGCTGCTCCTTCTCTGCGCCCCATTGTTGCTGCTGTCGCCTGGGTGTATCCCACCCATCCCAGCCACCTACCTGTGATGTTCTTGCCGACTATGATCTCCTCTGCAGCAGCCCCAAGGAGGCCCAGGCATGCACCCAGCAGCAGCAGGGCTGACACAACGCCGGTCTTCAACATCATGCCACACACCAAACACGGGGGGGCGAGAGATTCGACGCGCAGATCCCGATCTGCGAGCTCAGCGACAAAGGAGTGATCGCTTGAGACGCCTCCCACGTCAAATTTCGGTCTTCCCTGTGCTCCCACTTCGCCCTTGGCGCAGACATCCATCCGGTACGTCGGCCGCACTCTCTCTGTGCACCCCTCTCCCCCCTCCATGTGCGCAACATCCGTGCTGCCTGGTGCCCTCTCTGCGGTGTCTCTGGTGCAGGTCGTTGTGCGTGTGACAGATCTGTGAGGACGTGGTCGTGAGGATGTCAGCGGATCAGCCAGTGGACCAGCAGCTGCACCCCAAGGCGGACACCGAGTATGTCAAGGGTGCGTCGAAGCTCGGTGCGGCCCTCGAGACCGCTGAGAAGGAGGCCCCACCGGCCGCCAAGGGCGCCATCGGATGGGTCAGGTCAGTCGGGGTGCGGGGGAAGGAAGGGAGGGAGGTCGGAGGGACGCGAACGCCAGCCCGGCAAGGGGTGTGGTGTATGTATGTGCACGCGTGTCTTTGTTGTGACATGTGATTCCTTCAGGAATACTACCCTCGTGATCATCCTCATCGGCGCTCTGTACATGTTTCTGGTTGCCCTCAAGCTCATGGGAGACAGGTACGTCCACACACTCAGTGCTGTACATATCTACCTAGATAGATGCCTCACTCACTGACTGACTGACTGGTGGCGGACGTACCTGCACGGATCCGCGTGTGTGTGTTTAGCTTCAAGACGGTGGGTGCGTGCGGTATGGGGACTTTCTTCAGCGCCATCTCCAACCCCATCGCCGGCCTTACTGCCGGTGTCATCGCCACGGTGGCGCTGCAGAGCAGCTCTACCACCACCTCCATCGTTGTCAGCCTCGTCGGGTCCGGCCTGCTACCAATCAGACCCGCTATCCGTACGACACGCCACGCCACGCCACGCAACGCCACGCCACGCAGTTTACCTGCCTGACGTATGCGCGTGTGTGTTTACGTGTGTGTCCACGGACATGCAGCTGTGATCATGGGCGCCAACATCGGTACGAGTGTGACCAACACGATCGTGTCGCTGGGCCAGATGAACCACTTGGGAGAGTTCAAGAGGGCTTTCGCCGGGGCCACGGTAGGTACAGCGGGAGGGAGGCAGGGAGTGTGCTAGTGCTACTTACTTGACCGACGGACGTTCTATCGGTGTGGGTGGGTGGCCTTGCTGTGTGTGTATGTGTCTGTAGGTTCACGATTGCTTCAACTTGTGTTCGGTGTTGATACTGCTGCCGATCGAGTGGATCTTTAACATGCTCGAGCACCTTACTGACGCCATCATGCACGACGACATCGGAACCACCGGCGAAAAGTACGCACGCACGACCAGACCTCCATCCCACCCCTCCCCACCCCCCGTGGATGCAATGCGCAGAGAGAGGGGGGTGGATGCAATGCGCAGAGAGAGTATGTACCTACCGTACTTGTTGAGTCAATTCATGTGACTGACAACGTACGTACGTACCCTGTGTGTGTACGTCACTCAGGTGGGAGAGTCCCTTCGACACGATCGTCAAGGTCATAACCAAGCACATCATCGTGCCCGACAAGGACGTCATCACCGGGGTGGCCTCAGGCGAACTCGACTGCAGCGTTACCGATCCCAACAGCACGAAATATGTTGACCACCTCCTCAAAGAGGGACTCGCATGGCTCCGTGAGGACTCACTGACTGCACCCGACCCTAAACCTACTGCATGTGGCGCAGAACAGACACAAGTAGTTGTCCGTCTCCCTCTCTCTGTCTCTCTGTCTGTCTGTCTGTCTGTCTGTGTCTGTGCAGCGATTCACAAGGGCGATGCCGTGGTTGCTGGGACTGCCTTCCAGCGAGCCGAGTTCAGCTATGGAGTCTTCATGGTCTTCGTCTCCCTCGCCATGCTCATGATCGCACTCACCATCATGGTACGTACCTACAGTACATGCACACGTAGGCACGACGGGTGTGGGTGGGGCACACACACTCACGGACGCAGGCAGACAGACAGACAGCTTCCGGTCACCGCTGTCAGCATACCTATCTATCCTCGGCCTGCCCTGCCTGTGTGCGCGTGTCGTGTCCTCTTCCCTCCCTCCATGCCATGGCTGTTTGCGTAATTAATGGTTCTTCATTCGTTTGTGTGCCTGCCTGCCTTCATCACACACAGGTGAAAGTGATGCGCTACCTGTTGATCGGGTCGGTCAAGAAGACTTTTGAGCGTGTGGTGCACCAGAACTACATCGGCCATGAGTATGTGGCCATGCTCATCGGTGCGGGCCTCACGATGCTCGTGCAGTCGTCTTCAATCACCACGTCTGTCCTCACACCACTCGTCGGACTCGGTACGTACGCATCGCATCGCATCTCTATCTAGCGTCACTCACAGACAGACAGACAGACAGACGTGTATAGCTATCTTGCAGTGCAGTCACTGCACGTGTCATTCGTGTCATGTGACGTCCCCCACCCCACCACCCCCCACAGGCACGATTGACCTTGAGCACATGTTCCCTTTGACGCTTGGTGCCAACGTGGGTACGACCATCACCGGGCTGCTGGCGGCACTCGTGTCCGACAAGCCCGAGGGGATGCAAATCGCACTGTGTCACCTTTTCTTCAACATCTTCGGAATTCTCATCTGGTATTCATTGATTTACGTGGGTGCATGTGGCCACCTTGGTGAGTGCATGTACGTACGTACACTTGGTGTGGTGTGTGCCCCTCACTCGTCGCTCGCACCCACCTGCCTGGTCTGCGTGCGTCGGATGTGCAGGTACCCGATTCCGCAGATGCGGGCGATCCCTCTGCGGATGGCCAGGGGCCTCGGGGAGATCACAGCCGTCTTCCGCTGGTTCCCTATCGCATAGTCAGCTTCACACGCCACCAACCACCACACACACACACACACCCGCCACGCACACCGACATTGTCTGTCTTGTGTGTCTGGCTGCCTGTGTGTGTGTGTGTATGTGTGTGTTGGATCGATCAGCATCCTGATAGTGTTTGCTGCTTTGCCGATGGGGCTGCTGGCGCTGAGCAACATGTTCACGGCCGAGGACAACCAGCCGGGCCTGATGATTGGCGGCATCATCATCGTCGTCCTCATAGCCGCCGCCATCGTTGGATTCGCCGTCTGGTTCTACCGCTTCGGCGGCCGCAAGTGGCTCAAGATGGAGGCCAGCGAGATCCGGCACAAGCAGAACAAGTTCGTCAAGTCCCTCACGGCCGAGCTGCAGAAGACCGAGCACAACGAGTTTGAGGACGACTGGAAGGCCAAGGGCGTCGACGCCCTGTCGCCGTTCGCAACGCTGCCGAGTGACGACGCCAAGTCGCCCCTGAAGGTGGAGGTGCACAAGGCCACCGACAACGGGGTCGAGGAGACCACCGAGACGGCCTCGGGACGCACACACTCAGAGAGCCCGAATGCCGGACATGACGTCTAGACACACAACACACACATGGAGGGATGTCGGGAGGGAGGAATGTCGGGAGGGCCGGGCCGGTGTGGCCGTTGTCGATGTCGTCTGTGTTTGACTGACGTTTGCCTTTATAGTCAGGTGCCCTCCGGTCAGTTGGTTGGCTGCATGGTGGTGTGTGAATGTGTGAGGTTTTTTGGCACTCATTCATTCGTAGGGGCGGGATCGGATCGTCTGTGGAATTCGTAGTAGGTAGCACTGACTAACTGGCTGACTGACTGTTCGGAAGTGGCCTGGCCCTCTTTTTTCCCTACCTCTCCCACACATACAGACATACATACATACGCGTGGCTTCCTGCTCACATCCAGGAGTTGCTCGACGCATCGACCGACTGGTGTCTCTCTCTGGGATGTTTGTGTGAATGGGTTGAGGACACTACACACACGGTGTGCGGTGTGGGTTTTAAGTGAGGCGGATTGATTGATTGACAGATTGATTGCATTGGTTTGTGTCGATAATAGAAGTGAGGGCTATAAGATATTGACGAACTGACGGTATGGGCGTCCCTCTGTCTGTCTGTCTGCCTGTCTGTCTGTCTGTCTGTCTGGACACTCAGCCCGTGTGTGTAGTCGTGTGGCTGTGCTGACAGGTCTGGTTTATCAAAGGGTGTGAGCGAGGGGGGTACACTGACTGACTGACTGACTGAGCGGCCATTCGACTGGCTGACAGTGTAGTGCTTGCTATGCTATGTAGGAATGGACTACCTTTCTTTCAGGACGAGAGCTCAATGCAACGGATCATTGATTGCGGGATTGAGTGTTGATTCAATGGGGCCATCCATCCATTGGCGGCCCGGGATGGCCATGAGAGAGGGATCTTGTTCCTATCTCTTATCTCTATCAATCCTGACTCACTGACTGCATGGCATGCATGGGATGGATGGACGAGTGCGTACAGTACATGTGTGTGCGTGTCTGGTGTGGCTTGGCTGGCTCAAAACCCTCTCGTTGCCATACGATTGATGCGAGAGGTTTCCGTGTTCGCTATGTCATGGTGCTCATGTAACCCTTCTGTTCTGTGGAGTGGTGTGGTGTGGTGGTGTGCGGTTGTGAATGATCCCACCAATGCATTGGTGGTCTATCTCCGCTGCTGTCTGTCAGTCAGCCAAACGACGGATGTATGCATGCGGAGTTTATTAGTAGGGCAACGGGCTCTAGGCTTTACATACATACATACGCCCCTGGGGGTCAGAGGGAGGGTGTGGTGTCTTCACTGATGCATTTGCACGTTGGGCATGCGAGAGGAGGAGGGACATCGATCGTACAATCGATGGATGAGACAGACAGACAGACGGCCATTAATCCACATGAATGATGGCCACCAAGCCAGCCATCGCGATGCGTGCTTGCGCTTTGTTTTCTAGTCCTTCCTTGCTTGCTGCACACAGTGGTGGGTGGGTGAATGGCGGCCCTCGACTCGAGCACATACCTACATACATACCTATATACCTACCTGGCCTGCCTGGCCACCTCCCCTCCACACACGAACTGACTGCCGTCTTACCTGACCTCGTGGTAGTTTTGTCTGGACAGACAGACAGGCATGCATGTGATGTGCACAGGTGCGTACGTAGCTAGACGAGTAAGACATGGACGGATGGGCGACTGATGGATGGCCGACTGATGGATGGATGACAAGACACAAACGAATGGGAAACGCATGCACGTATGTCAGTGTCTGCATATTCGTTGGCGTCTCGTCGTGAATCAATCATTCAACCCACGTACGCGGACGATAAACAATCATGGTCCAATTGACTGACACAGTCTATACCCACTGACACTCCACTGTACCAGGAGCACACGCACCCCACAAGAAACACCGACGCTTGTCGGTCTTTCTGTGTCATCAATCAACCATAACATCCACATACACAAGCTAAGCCCTCGTCTTAGTCAGTCAGTCGATTCGTCGACAGACAGATCCCGCGCCGCATCCCCCAGCGCCGAATTCACATTTCTATGTATCTATCTGGAATGGCTGCCGTCTGGCCTGGCACCAGCAGCCTTCTCCGAGGGCCCGTAGTAGACAGGGGTGCGGTAGTGTCTCGGCTCCAGAGGGGCGGGTGCGTGTGGCAGGCGGCCTCCAGCCATCTCCCGCACGCCACTCTCGGACTTGATCTCGGCTGCCTCGGCGTCGCTGTCCGCCGCCTGGGCCGCGTGGTGGGCGAGGTGGTGCAGCTGCTGCAGCTCCACCAAGGGAGTCGAGGGGGACTCAAGCTTGACCATGTGGTACACAGCTGCAGCCAGGCAGGCAGGCAGGCGGCGAGCAATGGATATATGGGGGAGCGAACATCAATCAAATCGAACTCGTGTGGCTTGGCTGTCCTGTGTATCTACCTACCGTCCGTCCATCCGTACCTTTGATACGAAGCAGTACAACTGTCATGCCAATGGAGGCAAGGGCGATGGCTATCACCGCTATGGTGAAGGTCAACTGATCCGTCTTGTCCACTACTGCATCCATGCACGCACCACAGCACAGCACACAGCACAGCACAGCCAGCACAGCCCCACACACCGTGTGATCAGGCAGGCAGGCAACCAATCAATCCTACACACGTGTGGTGTGTACACCTCCCTGGACACATTACTACATTCATGGCATGGGTCAGGTCACCCACTTACTGACTTACTCTGCAGCCCCATTGCCACAAGGATAAGAGGAACTGATCCAAGACAAGACACACATCCACACACACACACCATCAAGATCGATACTATATCTGGTGTTGTGTGTTGTGTGTTGGCAGCCAGGCAGCGCAGCGCAGCGTAGCGCACCACTGGTGACGAATGCCCGCACAGCAGATTTCCTGGGCCCATCCGTGTTTCTCAAGAATGTGACGACGGCAAAGCTGCCATCAGCTATGAGGCGGGTGCCGCTGTACTGCAGCCACGTCAAGACCAGAATAGAGAAACCTACACACAGACCAGACAGACATGCACACACAACACACATTCATACATACATACATACATACACATCACGGGCCTGTCTGCAGTTGTGGGGCATGGCATGTTGGTTGCAGTGAGTGCAGTGCAGCCTGGCTGGCTGACTGAACTGTGTGTCCACCACCCCCCCGGCTCACACACAGTTCATGCAGGTGGCTGCCAGGAGGGCGCTAGTGTACAGAGTGAAGAGGTACTGGGAGTTCCATGTGGACTCATTCAGACCGATCAGCGGATACAACCCATACCCACCGAACACCTGGTTGACACACAACACACCACGGAAACCAAAGCATGACAAGATACACTGCTGTGCTGTATTGTGCCCTGCCTGCCTGGCTGCATGGCTGCACGCATCTCATCTGTGTGTGTGAATGGAGGGGCGGCCGTGTGTGTTTGGTGAGTGCGAACGCACCGTGGCGGCCAGGGCTATCTGATCAAAGCAGTCAGTCATTGAGTGAGGGCAGACAACAAGTAAGGCATCATGCAGTGCATTGCACTCATTGCTGCAGTGCATGGTCAGCCAATGTGTCTTGTCTGTCTGTCAGTCTGTCTGTCTGCCCATGCGTACCGATCCATAACTGTCAAGGCGGAGGCTCACACTCGTGCGCACCTGGTCAGCTGAACGAACACATTCAAGTCGAACGAATCCATGCCATGCAGTTGAACTCCTGTATGTGTGTCAGCGCCTCTGCGCCCCACCTGTGATGAATCCTGATGAGTGGGGATCTCTCAAGTCTGACAGCCGCTTCGGCAATGGATCCGGAGCAACATCTCTCGCTTGAGCCGGCGCGGGGGCGTCAGACTCACGTAACTGCTCGTCCATCAGCGCACGCCGCGCCTCGCTCATCATCTTCCCTCCCTTAGCCCGTATAGAGAGATCTGTCTGGTCGTCCCCTCGTTTCAACGCACGGGAGCACCCTAGCCCGCTTCCTAGTGCGAGCTCATCGGATTGGCAGATCTGCTCCAGTGTTCGTTCATTCCTCCAAGGAGCAACACGTTAACGGACACCGGGGTCCCACCAGCTCCCATAAAGCGTCAATGTCAGCTCTATCGTCGTATACCGCGAGGATCCAACAACGCTCATGTGCGACGCTAGCAAGGGTGCTTCACTCATCTGCAGCGACGCAGCCAGAGCCAAGCCGCGAGGGCCGCGTGTACGTGCAGCCTTTACAGCAGACTTCAGCTGACGGACAGACCCGCCGCACTCGTTTGGGCATCGTTGTTGGCAGTGGGTCGGCCAGTGCAGGCAAGGCGCGGCCCTCGCCTCCGGCCCTCGAGTTGGACCGTCTGTTTAACCCACTCAAGGGCACAAAGGCTTCCTATGAGGAGAGGCAGCGGCAGAGGCAGCTGACACGGGTCCACCGCGTCACGAATGGCATGAGTCATGTCGACCTGCCGCAGCCAGTCAAGCCACCGGCCTACAAGCCCAAGCCCAGGAGGCCCAAATCGGCAGCCGCCCAGTTCCAGCTGCCGCAGCGGGTCAGGCCGACAGGTGGTCCCCTGCCTGTCCACCCATCCTTCCGCCCCTCCAGCCAGCCACTGAATGCGCTGCAAGAATGGCTCGGCGCCTGGAAGACGCAGCCCCAGCCCCTAGGGCCGACAATAGCAGCAACCGGGCACCACCCTGTCAGCAAAGAGTCATCTCTCGTATCTGCGGACGTGATAGCCAAGATGCGGCGCTTGATGGACGCGGTCATGGACGCCCGCAGGCAAGACATGCTGCCACACAGGACGACCACCAACAGCACCCGTGCATCAGCCAAGCCCAGTCCCACTCCTCCCACCCGGCACGAGCTGCCGACGGATCTGCGGAGGCTTTTCAGGCCATCTTACTTCCTGCCCTCGACCTTGCAAGACAGTCTGAGGGGGGCCAAGGCACAAGCTCACCAGACCATTGTCGACAAGCCACCTCAGCAAGAGCAAGAGCAGCAAGGGCCGGAGGACTTGCTGGGCCGCGAAAGCGATAGGGCTGCAGCAGACATGCAGCAGGAGGCCCAAGAGTCACCTTTGACAGATGGGGTTGGCCACCAGGGCATGGCCCCCCACGACATCGTTGTGGGGTCGCTGCGGCAGTTTCTGTCAACGGAGGGCGATGAAAGGAAGAGCTTGGGGACTCGCAGGTTCAGGAGGCTGGCTACTGGGAGGCGTGAGGCCCTGTCTCTGAGGCACTTGCGAGGGTGGTCCATCAAGCCAACGGAAAGGAAAGGAGGCACGTCGCTCATCGCCACCGTCTTGGCCGCGCAGAGGGCTCTAGACGCCAGGAAGGAGGCCAGCGAGCAGCTGAGTGGTGTGTGGGGGGACGACACCAAGTTCGAGGCTTACCAGCAGGAGTGGATCGGGGCAGTGCTCGAAATGCTGGCTACCACACGCACTGCAGACGCAGACAGGACGACAGCACACGCTGAAAAGGTACGATCGACGATCAATGCTGAATGGCTTCACGGCCGGGCGACCGGCATGCCTGATAGATAGACGGACGACACGGGCTGGGCTCATCTCTCTCCCTCGCTCATTCAAACTATGGTCTGTCTGTCTGTGTGCGGCATGCCTATGTCCGTGCACGTCCGTCCCTGCATCATTCATTCAGGAGGCGGTGTCGCATGGGGCGACGTCTAAGATGGAGGTGTCGCCTGTGACGTCCCTGGACGAGGACAAGATGGACGAGGGCACGCAGACCATCATGCAACTCATGAGGACCAAAATGGCGCGGAAACAGAGGGAGCGGCTCGAGGCAGCGGCACTCGACCAGCACGGCGACACCCAACAACCAATTGCACACGATACTGAACGAGCTGCTGGGCCTCCTGCGGCACTTACAAGGCCGGTGCCGGCACCTCCAGCAACTCCCACACTCGTGGCGACAGAGACCAAGTCAGTCCTTGGTCGTGTCGCGGTGGTCAGCCCCGATGAGGGCTTGGGTGTGGGCGATGTTGATGGGAAGGCCGCAGAGGATGACTATGACCCCTCCCTGCTGGATCCACACAACATCACCGTGGGGGCGCTTTCCCAGCACATTGCCATCCCACTCGACAAGGTGGGTGCGTGTGGGCGGATGGATCGGTGGACTTGGCCGGCCAGCCACTTGGCGGGACTTCCTTCCTTGTGTGTCTCACTCACCGATGATTCATTGACGTGGATGCAATCAATGCAGGTTCGTGAGTTGGGTGCAGCGTTGCTGCCAGGGGGGCAGGCGACGGTGCACTCGCGTCTGACGGTGGAGGAGGCTGAGTTGATAGCTGAGGAGTTCGAGAGGGCCCTGCCCATCCGGCTGCGGCACACGAGTGCCTTGGCCAAGGACATGCGGCCGCGGCCGCCTGTCGTCACCGTCATGGGGCACGTCGACCACGGCAAAACCACACTCCTCGACGCACTTCGCAAGTAAGCATTTAAAGATGCGATCCGTATCTAGATATGTGAGGCAGATGCCAGCCAGGAACCCACTGGTATGTATGTATGTCTCTCTGTCTCTCTCTCTCGACCTCCTTCCTTGATACATACAGGACATCGGTGGCTGCGTCGGAGGCAGGGGGCATCACGCAGCGCATCGGTGCGTTTGAGGTTGTGACGCCCACCACCAGCCGGCGGGTGACCTTCATCGACACGCCCGGACATGCAGCCTTCTCAGGCATGAGACGGCGAGGGGCATCCGTCACCGACGTGGTCGTACTCGTCGTCGCCGCTGATGACGGAGTCAAGCCACAGGTGGGTAAATAAAGAGACACGCACCAGACGCAGCAGAAGGGATGGGGTGATGTTGGTCCTTGTATCTTCTCATTCGTCGTGTGCGTGACGTGAGCAGACCCTGGAGGCGCTGCAGCAGGCTCGCGATGCGCGTGTGCCCATAGTGGTGGCCGTCAATAAGATCGACAAGGACAACGCCAACATCGAGTGGGTCAAGCAGCAGCTCAAAGACCTGGACCTAAGAGACGCCAAACAAGGCGGCGACACACTGGTCAGTCGGTCAGTCAGTCAGTCAGCGGGCCATCCATCAGTACTCACTCGTTTGTATAGCGGAAGAGGCCGGAATGCGGCTGACTGACTGGGTTGATTGTATTGTGTGTCATTCATTTGAATGAAATGAACATGTCTGTCATTCATTTGAACCTTCATGGATGTGTGTGGGTGTTGTTTGGTCGCACATGCAGGTAGTGGAAGTGAGTGCCAAGGAGCATGTGGGTCTGGATGACTTGGAGGAGGCCGTCGTGCAGCAGGCCGACCAGCTCACACTACACGCAGACTACAAAGCCAGGGCCGAGGCATACATACTCGAATCAGGGTAAGTAAACGGCAGCCAGGCAGGCAGGCAGGCTGCAACCACTCGCGCACACATGCACATGCACGTGCACACGCACACGCGCACGCACAGGCAGACTCAGGCAATGAGGAAGAGAATGAATGGCTGGCTGCCCTTTCGGTCCCGTCGTATTGTGTGTGTGTGCAGCCTTGGTGATGGCCGGGGGCGTGTCCTGTCGGTGCTCGTCAAACGGGGAACACTCAAGGCAAGCAAGCCACCGAACATGGAGCACGACTGACTGACTCTGTCACATTAGCTGTACATCGTAGCCGGCACACTTGTCTGTCTGTCTGTCTGTCTGGCTATCCGTGTCACCCACCTGTGTGTCACATGTGTGTGTGTATCCATTCGTTGATCCATGCATCCATGTATGTGTGTATGTGTGCAGGTCGGTGACTATGTGGTGTGCGGCACCCACAGTTCGCGGATCCGTCAGCTGCTGGACCATGCCAGACGGCCGCTGTCCTCCTCCAGGGGAGCGACGCCGTCCACCCCAGTGGAGGTGGTGGGGCTGACGGGCGTCACACCAAAGGCGGGAGACTTCCTCGTTGTCGTCAGGGACCAAAAGACCGCCGGCACCATCACCAGGATGAGGAAGCGGGCCGAGGAGGTACCCACGCCACGCAAGGAACGAAGGGAATCAGAGAGAGGGCCAAAGCTGCCTAATATGAAAGACATACATACATACCGTGCGCTGTGTGTTGGTGGCGTTGGCTTTGGTTCATCACTTGATAAATCGACTCAGATGCGTCAGTTGGAGGAGTCGGACCAGACGTCTGCTGTGACGAGGGACGTGCTCGCATTCAAGAAACATGTATGTGAGACCCAGGGGGAGGGGCTGGATGCCATGCCATACACACAGCCGACATCCTGTAAACACCTGTCTGTCTGTCTGTCTGTCTGTCCGCCCATGTGTCTGTGCACTGCACTGGACTGCATGCAGGTGCTGGAGGGCAAGGGTGTGCATCTCAAGTCGCCCAATCTGCACAAGAAGATGATGACCAAGGCCTACCACATGCCGGGTGAGTCGGACGCTGACCTCATCGACGCTGAAGACCAGTCCTTGCAACAAGAACACACACCAACACACACCGACGACCAACACGAGGGGCGAGAGGGGCTGGAGGAGGACGGCGGCAGCCAGCCGGCTATGCCGGAGAGTTTCGCTGCGGCTGAGGGTCAGCAGTTGGGTCTGGTTATCAAGGCTGACAACTACGGGTCGATGGAGGCCATCAAGGACTACCTCGACCAGTGGACGGCCAAAGACGAGCAGCGGAGGGACCGATTCGCCCTCGTGTCCTCTGGTGTGGGGGCTGTCACGGAGGCTGATGTGGAGAAGGCAGCCGTCAGCAACTCGTTCGTCCTTGGCTTCAACGTGGAACCCCTCGAGGGCTCCAGGGTGCATCAGGTCAGTCAGTCACAACCAGTCAGTCACCACACTACGATGACCAGTCAACTCATTTCGCGGCGGAATTGAGCGTGGCCTTGGTGCTGCCGCTGTTTTTTGTGTGTCTGTGTGGTTCATTAAGCTGCTTCATCGCCACAAGCTGATCTTCCGCAAACATGAGATCATCTACAAACTGTTCGATGACCTCGAGGTGGGCGTACATAGATGTCGTGTTGTGGCATGTCTGCCGTCTCGTGTCTTGTCGGGTCTGTCTGTCCTTCATTCAGGCGTTGCATGACTTTCACTTCGGCCCTCGTTACCTGATCAAGACGGTGGGCCGCATGATCGTCACGCGTACGGGCGACTACACCGTCACCAACCGGGACAAGTCCAAGGAGGTCCGCACTGTCGCGGGCGTCGACCTCAAAGAGGGACGAGCAGCAGCTGGCAACGACTACTTCTACAAAATCGTGAGCATGCCAGCCAGGCAGCCTCCCACCCAGACAGAAAGACGAGGGGTGGAGTGACACTACAGGCAGGATGTGTTTGGACATCGCCTGTGGTGTGTGTCAGACACGGCGGTCTGTGGTGATAGCTGAGGGCCTGAATGTCTTGTCCATGTCGGTCCAGGGAAAGAAGGCCACTGAAATGCCTAAAGGAGGTCAGGCACGCACCACACCGGCACATATTCCTCATACACGCCCGTGTCCCGTCTGTTGATGTGGCGCTCTGTGTGCTGTGCTGTAGAGGGTGCGATCATATTCAAGGTGCATGACGACGTGCAGCCTGGCGACGAGATCGTCTGCTACGAGAACAAGGAGAGGCCGCCCCTCTTCGGCCAACTCAATATACCGAAGTTCCTTGAGGCCAACAAGCTGTGACCGGGGGAGGGAGGGAGGGAGGGAGGGAGGGAGCCAGGCAGCAGTAGGGACTGATTGCATTCGGGTGGATGAATGGGTACTGTAGTAGGGCGTGGAAATTGATTCAAATGGCTAGCTTGCCACATCCTCACCGCAAGTGGGCTGAGACTGGGGGCTGAGACTGTGGGGCACGCAGACTCAAGGCGGAGATGGCATCCCTCCTTTCGACGCTTTGGGCTCCATTCACCGCCTGTGATGTCACTCGCTCACCGACATGTGCCGAGCGGACGGAACGAGTGACATGTGGGCGACAACACATCCCTCCCTCGGTTTGTTCGCTGTCGATGCGCTGTGTGTGTCTGTCCATTACTCGCAGGCCAGTGCCCACTGGGGCAGCTCGAGGGGGAGACTTTTGCCGACCTGGCACGAGCTTTTGCTTTTGCAAAGGTGCCGCCCCAGCTGCACGAGAGATGCATGAGACGTCCATTACGACCCCACACGCCCCGCCCTGCTTCCTCTGTGCAGGTGCCTCACGTGCGCTTGTGTGTGACTGGTGTGGAGGGCCTGGATCGTGTGCTGGACTATGAGGTGGAATGCGCAGGTAGGTAGGTAGGTAGGTAGTCGTCCAAGCGGCAATCATTAGGGTCGGCCTCTGTGCAGGACTACGTTGGTCTGGCACCGGAGATCTCTCCCCACGTGTGGACGTCATCGTGCCCCTCTTCCGCGAGGGGGAGGTGGGGAAGGAGGATGATGGCGGCTCCACCGACATTAAGATCACGGTCACGCTTGCCGCACCGGCGATGCTGTTTGACGTTGTCTGGGGGGGCGGCTGCGATATTGCGGCGGGCGGTGATGCACGACAGACACTCGACCAGTACACAGCGATCCTCCAATCGTGTGTGCCAGAACAACCAGGTGAGACATCTATGTTCCTGCGGGTCTACAACGCGTCCCAGTACCTCGTCATTCATGCTGCGTAAGTATGCGTGTTGTCTGCTGTCTGTCAGTTGAGATGGCACTCCCCCTGGAGAGACAGCCGGGGAAGAGCCGAGGGTCGGAGGGCAAGAGTCCATCGTTGAGGGTGCATGTGAGCAGGTGTCTGCCGGGCATCCAGCCCGTGGATCCGCAGGAGACGGATGGTAGCGCCTCTAGGAGAGCCCCTGTGTACAAGTATGTGCCTGTGGACCTGCTGGACGAGGTGGAAGTGGCCCTGGCGGCAGTCTTCTCACGCCGACCTCTCCTCCTCTCACATTACATCAAGGACATCACCAGAATATCATCAGGCACGCAGCACACACAGCACCAAGCAAGGGAAGGAAGTGAAGTGTCGGGTAGTGCAGTGCAACGTGTCCCTGCATTTGTGTCGTGTCTCTGCACACAGGCCGGTATGTCGTTGAACGGGGCAGCAATACAACCGATATGGTCCAGGTCATCGATTGATTGCAGCCAGCCGATGGGGGACATGAAGATCGTTCTCTCCTGCCTGCCTGCCTTGCCTGCCTGCATGCCTGCCTGCCTGCTTGTTGTGTTGTGTTGTGTTGTGTTGTGGTCGTTTCAGATCAAGTTGGTGAATTGTGTTGTGGGGCAAGTGAATCCCGTGCTGCCATCGACCAGCCGAGAGCACGTCATCCAGAAACAGTGGCGCCATATGGCGATGCTTGTGCAGCAGATCAAGGACTCAGCCATCACTCAGACAAAGAGACTCATGGTCGTCACAGACCACTATTCACAGCCATTGGAGGATTGGATACTCCACGAGCCTCACAACATCGAGTATCACACCGATTTCCACATGGCAAAGCAGCACCGGCCGCCCCAGAAACCAGCCAAGACGCAGCAGCCGAAGCCCCGCGGACCGCATAACTACCACAAGCTCGCCAACAGTGAACACGCCAGGAGGTGGGTGGGGATCGGATCCAACAGGGAGACAGACAGACAGACAGACAGACAGACAGACAGGCATGGATGTCCCCGTTTGTTTTACGTTTAAGGCTGCTGGCGATGGAGCAGGCTCTACTGGCGGCTGGACATCAATGATCGGAAGATAGAGACGTACGTACACGTACGTGCATATACCAAATGACGTGACGCACTTGTTGTTAAAGGAGCAAAATATCAATGGCCGCCGGACTTACCCCGTACATGCTTAATATTATGACTGGCGTCCATGAGTGACAACCATTCGCAAGTCAGCTTGCATTCTACGTATTTACATGCACCCACTGGTCTCGCTGCTCCCCTCAATTGCTAGAGGGGAAGACCGCGCTGCTTGCGGCCGCCGATCACATCCCAAGGCGGCCCCGTTGTTGATGTCTCTACACACGACACAGAAGCTGCTGTCTCGAAGCGGGCCTCAATCAATGTTCATCTGTGTTGCCTTCAGTCGCCTTTGCAATTGAGGCCAACCACCCACCCACCCATCCATCCATCCATCCATCCATCCATCCGTGTTTGTGTGTACATTGAGGCGTGCATTGCCCTCCAGCTCTTTGATGCCCGCATCTCTCCGGGATCAGCCAGCTGGCCAGGAATCACATTCATGGTCAGGGAGCACCCAGAGCTCCAAAGGGCATGATTTTCGCAGTGCACGGATGAATGAATGTCCGCGAACCTCTGAGACTTTTGTCTACAGAAAGTAGCTCTCGAAATGCGATAAATTAATGCGATCTATGAGCTCGCGCCTCTCCTACCCCTGACTGCGACGCGGGATGGCTAAGAGGAAGTTGGATCTGCCGTCTGGATGGGATAAGCCTCCTGCCAGCGATGACAGGCAAGAGTGACGTGACGTCGCATGACTTTGCTACGTGTGTATGTGTATGTGTAACAGGCCATCCAAGAGCATCAAGCTGGAGGATGGACAAGCAGAGGGAACAGCAATCAGCCCTTTCACTAACAAGCGTAGGCAGAAGGAAGGAAGGAAGGAAGGAACCATTCACACACACACACTCCCCTGATCTTGTTTGTCCTTCCTTCCGTCCGTACCGTCCGTCCGTCCGTCCATGCGTCCGTCTGTCTGTCCATCAGCGTACAGCCAGCGGTACTATGAAATTCTTGAGACGCGCAAGCGTCTGCCAGCGTGGGAGGCCAAGAAGAACTTCATCAAGCTGGTCAAGAAGTACCAGGTCACCATCCTCGTAGGCGAGACGGGATCCGGCAAGACCACACAGTGCGCACAATTCATACTCGATGCAGGACTCAGAAACGGGTCAGTCAGCAAACCACCACACCACACATACGCACACAGAGAGAGGGCTCGATGTCTGTTGACCGCTTCCTATGTGTCTGATTGTGTTCAGGAAGGCGATAGCGTGTACGCAGCCGCGTCGTGTCGCCGCCATGAGTGTCGCTCAGCGAGTGGCAGATGAGATGGTACGTACCTACAGGATGCAATGCCTTACATGTTTATCATCGACCCTCAGGCTCATTTCTCCCTCGTTGTTTGTGTGGGTGGCTGGCTGGCTGGCTGGCTGATCCATTGATTCATTCATTCATTCAGGATGTGACTCTCGGATCCTTTGTCGGTTACCTGATCCGTTTCGAGGACTGCACCAGCGCCACAACCGTACTCAAATACCTCACCGGTACGACTAAGACCAGACAAGGAGAGAGAGAGAGAGAGAGAGAGAGCGAGAGCCATGCGTATATGCATGGGCAGCCAGGTCAACAGGCCAGCCAGCCAGCGAGTGCACTGCACGCAGCTCAGTCACGTTTGCCTTGCTGGAAATGGACGATTTGGTGACTCATGTATTTGCCCTACTTGCTATTTATCATTATCCGTCACGATCCCTCCTGTCGTGTCGCTGGCGGCTCTCGGATTCGTGCTGCCTGGCTGCTGCTTCTCTGAATGGATGAATTGTGCATGCCTGCCTGTTGCTCGCGCTGGTGCTGGCCTGTTGGTTCTGTGCTACGCTGTGCCTTGCGTGGCTGTGGTTTGTGTGTGCTGATGCACTGACTGCGCACATGTGGTGCCTCCCAAGACGGTATGCTGCTTAGGGAGGCGATGGCTGATCCGCTGCTGGAGAAGTACTCGGTGGTTATCCTCGATGAGGCGCACGAGCGGACCCTCGCCACCGATGTCCTCTTCGGGCTGCTCAAGGAAGTCCTCAAAAACAGACCTGGTACACACCGACCTGCATGCGTACCTGCACACACGGCGTTAGTCAGTCAGTCAGTCAGTCAGTCGAGAAGGGAAACAAACCACACGTTGTATGTATGTATGTATGTATCCCTTATCCGCCCGCATGGGTGCAGATCTCAAGCTGGTTGTCATGAGCGCCACACTCGATGCCCAGAAGTTCCAAAAGGTACACACGAGGCAGACAACGAGAAACGTGAGGTGATACATGATGGGTGATAGGTGCGTATGTGCATGTCCACAATGTGTGTTTCACTTGTCTTGCAGTATTTCGACGGTGCCCCTTTGCTGAACATCCCCGGCCGGCTGCACCCTGTGGAAATATTCTACACACCAGAGCCGGAGAAGTAAGCAACCAACCAACCAACCACTGTCCTGTGTGTGCGGATGGTGCTGCCGGTCAGGGATTACCTGGAGGCAGCCATTCGGACCGTGCTGCAGATCCATGCATCTGAGCCAGCAGGCGACATACTCCTCTTCCTCACAGGTACGTACCTACGCACGTACCCACCCAGGCCGTATGGATGTACCGACTAGAGTGTCCTGTGTGTAGGTGAGGAGGAGATCGAGGGGGCCAAGAAGCAGCTCGAGAAGGAATCCCCTAAGATGGTCGAGGTACGCATGTCCTTCCACACTGACCCATGCATCCATCAATGAGTGCATCGTTTCACGTATGTTTGTATGTGTGTATGGTTTCATTCAGGCGGGTGAGCTGATGGTGGTGCCCCTGTACGCCTCTCTGCCGCCGGCCATGCAGCAGAAGATCTTCGAGCCAGCGCCAGGCCCCGCGTATGAGGGTGGCCCACCTGGACGCAAGTGCGTTGTGGCCACCAACATCGCAGAGACATCCATCACCATCGACGGTGAGTAAACAAGCAAGCAAGGTCGTTGCACTCACTCAGTCACCCGCTACGAGCAAGCATCCTCCCTCCCCATACTGTGATATGCGTATGTATGTGATGTGGTGGTGGTTGACTGACAGGCATTGTGTATGTGGTCGATCCGGGATTTGCCAAGCAGAAGGTGTACAATCCCCGCATCCGGGTGGAATCGCTCCTCGTCAGCCCCATCTCAAAGGCCTCAGCTCACCAGAGAGCAGGAAGGTCAGTCCGTCACCCAACACACACCCATCGATATATTACATAAATGGCATGCGGGGCAGGGCATGCCATGCCATGCACTCACATATCAACAACGCAACACACCCACGTGTTGGTCCGTGTCTGTGCGTCTGCCTGCCTGCCTGCCTGCCTGCCTGCTTGCCTGCTTGCCTGCTTGCCTGCTGTGTCTGCTGTCTGCCTATAGGGCTGGCCGCACTCGTCCTGGCAAGTGCTTTCGGCTGTACACGGAGAAGGCCTTCGAGGCAGAACTGGTGGAGCAGACCTACCCGGAGATACTCAGGTATGTAGACGGACCTCCACCTTACTGCCAGTCGGCCACGAATTCACCCCTGCCTGCCTACCTGCCTTGGTACGCCATCAGGTCCAATTTGGGTAGTGTCGTGTTGACCTTGAAGAAGCTGGGCATTGATGATCTTGTCCACTTTGACTTTATGGACCCACCCGCCCCTGGTAAAAGCCAGGTGCACAGCTGTGCAGGGGGACCCCTGTCAATCAATGGAAGCCTTCCTGCACTGTACGCCCTGTGTGTGCATGGGACGGACATACAGAGACCCTAATGCGGGCACTGGAAATGCTCAACTACCTTGGAGCACTGGTAGGCGGGCGGGCTGCGTCCACCCGACCCTACAAACAGTGCTGTGTGTTGCGTGTTGTGTGTTGTGTGTTTGTTGTGTGAGCAGAACGACGAGGGCGACATGACAGAGCTGGGTGAAATGATGGCCGAGTTCCCCCTCGACCCGCAGCTGGCCAAGATGCTCGTCGACTCCCCCAAATTCAACTGCTCCAATGAAATACTCTCCATAGCGGTCAGTCAGCTCATACAGATCATATGAAACACGTACGTACACCATATGTCGGTCGGTGCAGTCAGTCATTCTCGCTTCGTATGTCACTTCAGGCAATGCTGAGCGTCCCGCACTGCTTCGTGCGTCCCCGTGAGGCGATGCGTGAGGCGGACGAGGCCAAGGGTCGGTTCTCACATCTCGACGGCGACCACCTCACACTACTCAATGTCTTCCACGCATACAAACAGGCCCAAGGTCACACAGACCGACCCATTGCACTCCTGGCATACATACACTTAGTATGCGTCCGTGAGCGGCATCATGGCGTCTGCGTGTGCTCTGGTATGTGCAGGTGCCGGCAAGAGTTTCTGCTACGACAACTTCCTCAATCATCGGGTGGGTGGGGAGATGGGTGGCTTGGTGGGCGGGATAGGAGATAGCGTGGATAGCGTGGGGGCGCTGGTGGTTGAGTATATGTTTCTTATCTGCGTCTGTCTTGTGTTTGTTGTGTATGTTCAGTCGCTGTTGTCAGCGGAGAATGTGAGGACTCAGCTGCAGCGCATCATGGAGCGTTTCCAGCTCCGGCTGGTGTCGACCAACTACCACGACAAAGCCTACTATCCAAACATACGCAAGGCAATCGTATCAGGCTTCTTCATGCAGGTACACACACACACACACTGCGAGAGAGAGTGACAGAGAGAGGGGCACATTCATGAGAGGCAGCGAGACACCACACCGATGCACGTACGTGTTTCGCGGCAGATTGCTCATTTGGAGCGATCTGGTCATTTTCTCACTGTCAAGGACAATCAGGTGGGTACAGCGAGCGGGACGAGCAGGACACGCAGAGCGGTCCCGAGCACCCTCTTTGAGTGTTGTATGTTATGTGTATTATGTTGTGACGGACCATTTTCGTGTGTCATACCATCCATACCCAGGTGGTTGCGCTGCACCCATCGACGTGTCTCGATCACAAACCAGAGTGAGTGCGTCGAGTCGACAGCACAGCCCATGCATGCACATACTGACTGTACGGACACACACGTGACTGTCGGTCGGTTGGCAGGTGGGTGCTCTATCACGAATTCGTTCTCACTTCCAAAAACTACATCCGGGTGGGTGAGGGAGGGAGGGGGGGAGTGAAACTTCAGACTCCAGTCAGTCAGATGACTACTGTACCGTGCGTGTGGAGTTGAGTCGAGGCCTTCCCCATTTGACCTACATACGTACATAGCTGTGTTTGTCTGTCGGTTGTGTCTGCACAGACGGTGACGCAAGTGCGTGGCGAGTGGTTGTTGGAGCTGGCACCTGCCTACTTCTCACCCTCAGACATGCCGGTGAGTACACAGGGGGGGCCCAGGCGGAAGAGGAAGGAGCCGACGGTGTGTGACACCGATCGGATGGATGGATGGAAAATGTGTGGGTATGTGGTATGAATGACTGCAGGCCTGTGAAGCCAAAACTGCCCTGGCCAAGCTGGCAGCCAGGACATAAGCACCTGTTGACTGTGTTGACAATGGATGCATACATGGATGCGACTGTAAGGAAGGATGCCGGCAGCTGTTGCAAAAGGGCGGGGGAAAAAAGCCAGACCAATCATATGAAAGTTTCACGGTTGCTCGAGCTCCGTGCTCGTGGAGGGAGAGGAGAGGGCGCCGGACAAATCAAAAGGACTCCGAAGGACTCTCCTGGGACTTTTCATCTCACAACACCATACAATGTCCTGTGCTCCTCCGTAGCGAAGCCTCCAAGCTCGTCCCACAGTCTCCAACTTGAAGATCTGTCGCCAGTACTCATCATTTTGACCTCAGGACAGCTGAAGTGGGAAGACTGAACGCCTCCCTCATGAGTGTGTACGGATCCATATTCAGGTGGGAGCACATGTGGACGGACCGGCTTTGGTTGCTGCATGTCTGCTTTCCGTTGGTGCGCTCCTTAGAGTGTCGACTTTTGGCGAGAGCCACGGCATTGGCGTGGGCTGCATTGTGGACGGGGTGCCGCCCGGCCTTAAGCTGACAGAAGAGGATGTGCAGCCGCAGCTCACCCGGAGACGTCCCGGCCAGTCCAGCCTGACCACTCAACGACAGGAGGTATGCAGCACAGTACAGCACGGCACAGGGGAGCCACCGCTCAGCTCAGGTTTGTACCATGGATGGTTGTCACAATTCGGCCTTTGTGTTGTGCTGGTCCAGGGCGATGTGGTGAGCATCCTCTCTGGTACCGAGAATGGCGTCACACTAGGTCGGTTCGGAATTGAGCCAGGCGACTTCGACAGACAGACAGACAGACAGACAGACAGACAGGCAGGCAGGAAGGAAGGAAGAAGAAGATGTTTGTATGGTCAGGCACGCCTGTGGCGATGATTGTTCGGAACCAGGATCAACGGTGGGTGCGAAGAGACCGACAAGCACTGTGAAGGGTTGGATGTGGCACGCTGCTGGCTGTTGGCAGGAAATTTGATTACGCCAACACGAGCAGCATTCCGCGTCAGTAGACAGACAAAGCAGAAACCCAGCCAGCCATCCAGCCATTGTTTAAATACGGATAAGGTGTGAGGGTTTTTATAACGCGCCTGGTTCAGGCCCTGGCCATGCGGACTACACCTACCAAGTCAAGTACGGCATCAAGGCCTCGAGCGGAGGGGGCAGAGCCTCCGCGCGAGAAACAATCGGACGAGTCGCTGCGGTGAGGGAGACACTTCCACACATCTGGGCTGGCGACAACCATGTTAACAGATGAATGATGCTCGGTGGGAGTGACATGTACATCATCGTGGTGTTGTGCGCTGTCGGCAGGGTGGGATCGCTGAGAAGTGGCTTCGTGAGCAGTACGGCACGTCCATTGTCACCTGGGTACCAAGCGTCGGACAGGGATAAAGCAAAAGGGACTGATCTGCCAGTATGCTCGTTCACTTTCCTTTCAGGTGTCGGCTGTCGGGCACGTTCGCTTGCCTGAGGACGTTGCCAAACGACTGGGTCGGTCATATGTCGCGCTAGTCAGTTTGACAGTCGATACAGTCTCCTGCTCTCCTGGTTTTCGCTGGCCACTTGGTCCTTTCAGAGACGACGCCGCCTACCAGGGATGAGATCGACTCGTCCGGCGCTCTTCTGCAGCTGGAGGATGGTAGAAGGACCTGGGCACACTCACCACCGACAAGTCTCCGACCACACGATTGGCCCGTGTACGTAGGTCGTTTCGTCGACGTATACGGCAACGTATACGAGGGAAGCAGCGGGGAACCTACTGGGGAAAAGCAGGGCCGTCAAATGCCTGAAGATTGCGCCAAGGTCAAAGAGACCAAGATCCACACACGGTGCCCCCATGCTCCATCGGCAGCCATAATGGCCGCGCGAATCCAACAGGTGCATTACTGGCACAACAACCACAGGATGGACGCAAACTTGCAGGCTGTTCTGTCACCAAATGTCTGCGTGTCTGTCGGCCAGCTACGGGCGGCGGGAGACTCAACAGGTGGGATACTAACGACTGTCGTTCGCGGATGCCCCGTGGGGCTAGGGGAGCCGTGCTTCGGTGAGAGCAGCATCATGAGATCATGGTCGGTCACCATGCTTCCTTCGGTTTTCAGACAAAGTCGAGGCCGAGCTTGCCAAGGCAATGATGTCGCTCCCGGCAACCAAGGTGCCTATTGACTTCATGTCTAGTCAGGGCCGCTTTGGCCGTCTGATGTGTGTTGTTTGGCCGTCTGCCCGTAGGGTTTTGAGGTCGGGACGGGGTTTGAGGGGGTGAAGATGACTGGGTCGCAGCACAACGATCTCTTCGCGGGCAAGGACGCTGACTCGTCACTGCTCTACACACGGACCAACAATGCAGGTGGCACCCTGGGTGGCATCACCTCAGGTACGGCATCAGTCAGCGATCATTTCTTCTCTCTCTCTGGGATGCATGGCTCACTCACCAATCTCCTTCCCGTGTTTGGTTGGACAGGGCAAGACATTGTCTTCCGAGTGGCTATTAAGCCTGTCTCATCCATCTCGTTGGAGCAAGAAACAGCCAGCTTTGATGGCGTGGTCGAGAAGCTGGTTGTCAAGGGTCGGCACGACCCTTGTGTGCTGAGCAGGGCATCGCCGCTAGTCGAGTCCATGACAGCCATTGTAAGCTGCAACACGCACTTCGGGCCCCGTTCACCTGCTAGATTATTAGTCACGACATTACTCCACAGGTGCTCTGCGATCTCGCCATGCGGCAACGGGCTCGAGTCGGCCCGACACCTCTCCAGTCCTTGCAGTCCAACTCCCATCGCTAGCGGTGCATCCAATGCGAGCGAAGGAATGGAAGCACGGCAGCAGATTATTCCTGCGCAGTCTGCACAGCACTGCCTGCAGGTCAGCGAGGTCTGTAATCCTGGAGGTGAGGCGGTCTGCCGTGAAGGCCAAGGCTAGGGGATAGTGATTGTTCTCGACTGTTTTTGTTCATGTACATGAACGGCCGCACTCGAAGACATGCAGCTCATCCCCTTTTTTTATCAATATGCATGAACACAGACCTACATACAAAGACGATGTCTCCCTCAAATGATGTTTTGCATAAACGTGCACGCATATTTGTGTGGACACACAGACAAGCACGACTCGCCAGCTGTTCCAATTGCTAGCCGCTCCCCTCTCTGCCCCTCTCATCACCTGTGTGCTTCGCTAACCCGCGATACAGAAGACGCCAAGGTATAACCACATGTCAATCTGTGTCAGGAAGAAGCCGAGGTCTCACATATCGTTCCACAGCTCACGCCAGACGGTCGGTCTGTGCGGCGAGGAACGGTACCCTGGCCGGAAAAAATGCGAGCTTTTTTCAATCAGCCAGCTTGCATCCGCACAGCTCGCAGCGCGGGGTAGTGGTCCTTTACAGGTGTGAAGCAGATCGAAGCCGATCACGTCAGTTTGGACGAGAGTGGGCACGTTTTGATTCGGTCGTGTCCACCTCGGCTAGCGTGTATCATGGAGGGTAGCGTGGAGGGTAGCGTGGAAGATCTGTCATCCACGCTCTTTTTCTGGGTGAATGGAAAGGTACGAAGAGGAACGATGGTTCATCCGCCGCGCGAAACATCACCCCCTCTGTGTTCTCTGTAGCGTCATGACCTCAAGCATGATAAGGTTGATCCAGAGATGACGGTGCTAGAGTATCTGCGTCAGAAGTGCCGCCTCACGGGAACCAAGCTGGGTAAGATGCTCGCTTCAAGGAACTGACAAAGCCTGCAAATCATTTCCTCGATTGTTGTCAAAGGGTGTGGCGAGGGAGGATGCGGTGCTTGCACAGTGATGGTGTCGTCAAAGACGCGCAGTGGCGAATTGGTTCACAAGAGCATAAACGCCTGCCTCGCACCCATATGCTCCCTGCATGGGACTGCTGTCACTACAGTCGAGGGTGAGGCGCTAGCCTGCGGCGGTATGGCAAGCGATTCCTGTGACCTGTGATCCTGATATTGTCAGGCATTTGCTCGGAGAAGGCACTCCATCCTGTCCAGCAGGCGCTCTCTGACAGCCATGGTTCCCAATGTGGATATTGTACGCCAGGTAGGTACTACAGCTAACTGTGGCGGTCATTGATAATCGCTATTTCGGTGTTCAGGCTTTGTGATGTCCATGTATTCGTTGTGGATGAACCGGGATCACTTCAACGAATCTGACATCGAGGATGGTTTTGATGGCAATCTCTGCAGGTCGGTAAGGTTGTGTGCACGGTATGGCATTCACCTGTTTCGGTAAAGTTGTGCGCACTGCTTGCCTTCAGGTGCACTGGCTATCGTCCGATCCTCGACGCGTTCAAGACATTCGCCGACGACGTCCACGAAGGACGAGAATCCTTCCCAGCAGCTGGACACGCGTGCAACGGCAGGAAGAAGTGCAGAGGCAAAGAGGCTGCGTATGAGGGCTCTGCGGCTGGCGAATGGCTGAAAAGCCACGATGCAGAGGCAAAGAGGCTGTTTGACAAGCTGCCCTCAAGCCTACCGCCTCTTCATTACGTTGGCCGGTAGGATCAGGGCCACAGCGCAGGAAACGATCATTCTACATTCTGTGTACGATTTGATTGAAGGCATTTGGGTTCGCCCGTCGAGTGGTACAGTCCGAATACGCTCATCGATGTTCTTCAAATTATCCGCCATCACCATCTCAAGAATCTGCCCCTGAGGCTCGTTGTCGGCAACACCGAGGTGTGATCTTCGTAGGATTGTGGAGATTTGCGTCTTTATACAATCGAATGGTTGCTTCTGTATCAGCGTCGCATTGAAAAGTTCTTCAAGAGGAACCACCAGTATCCATTGAGCTTGCTGTCGACGAGTCGAGTGGCGGAACTCCTAGAAATGCACTGGGAAGAAAACGGTCAGCTGCACGATTAATATATGATCGGTTGCACAAATCCCTTTGCTGGTTGTGTGCGCACGTTCGTGACAACAGGGGTCCGCATTGGCTGCAGCGTTGACCTGTCCACGGTGCTCATGTCATTCGAAGAAAAGGCCAATGAATTCCGCCGCGCAAATCTTGAATGGAAAAGAAGGATTCTGCAGGTGCGGCGTAAAGCAGCATCTCGGACTGTGGAAAATTGCAAGACGCTGCTTTGTTTGATTCACGCAGGCATATGTGAATCAGCTGCGTTGGTTCGCTGGAACTCAGATTCGAAATGTGGCAAGCCTTGGCGGCAACGTGAGCGGACGTCTTCAAAAAAAAGGGACTACTTGGAGTGCATCCGTTTGCATCCGTTTCTGTTGTCAGATCGTTACGGCCAGTCCGATATCTGACCTAAATCCATTGCATGTTGCAGCTGGTAAGTGACTTGATGCAAGTGAAGACCGACCACGGACACGCAAGAAACCGATTACTCCCAGGATGCACACTACGGCTCGCCTCCCTCGCGGAGTCGGTTGGAGAAGTTTCATATCGAGACAAACGCTTGGATAAGAACTTCTTCACAGGGTGATTCATACTCTATGCATGCAAACTGGAGCTTTAACATTCGTGTTCGATCGCAGATATCGCAAAGTTGACGTGAGGCCCAACGAGGTTGCCGTGAGTCTCTTCATCCCCTTCCCACGCGACAGTGACGAATTCTTCTTCGGCTTCAAACAGGTACAGCAAGCAAACGTCTTTCCATCTGGTGCAGATTGCTGTACGCCGTGGCGCTGTGATCTTCGTTAATGCAGTGCCGCCGCCGTGAAGATGACATTGCGATCGTTAACGCAGGGATGCGCGTCAAGCTCTCAGGCGGTGAGTGAGTACGCTGAGCCGGTAAGTTAAGAAAGATTTCGCGTTTTCTCTTCAGACATCATCGTGGACAGTTGCTTCTCCTTCGGCGGTGCGTGGAGAGTCTAGAGGATATGGAATACCAGGCTCTCAGGGTGTTGGCATGACATGGGTGCGCATTTTCGCAATTCAGGAATGGCGCCCTTCACGATATGCTGCCCGGCGCTGAGTACTTACTTCGCCGGCAAGCCATGGAGCAGAGAGATCATTGACGGTGCTCTCGAGGTTATGGACAAGGCTCTTCACCTCCCACACAACGTGCCAGGCGGCCAGGTCAGAGGTTCTACTCCACGCGGGCTTGATCGTTGAAAGATTGACTGATCTGACTGCGCAGGCGGAGTATCGCCAGTCGCTAACACAGTCGTTCTTGTTCAAGTTCTTTCTGCAAGTCTCCGCGAGTTCGCATCGCTTGAGCAGTGCGGTCCAACCCGGAGAGGAATCCTGCCTGAGCGTAAGCGCAAGGCATCCCGTGTGCCAAATCACTAAGTCATCCGCAAACCATGTGAGTGAATTGCTCCTGTATTGCAGCATCTCACGAACAACTTCGTGCACGAAGGAGTTCGCGGAGTGCAGCATTCGTGCTTTCCTTCCGGAACTGCATCTCAGGAGGCGAAGGGACAAGCAGGGCAGTCGACAAAGCACATGGCTGGGTAAAAAAGACCTGCTCAACACATTACAGAATGTTCTCTTCGGAGTTTGATAATTGAACGTCTCGTTGTTTTTCAGAGACCTTCATGTCACCGGTCGCTTCGCAGACGGGACAGCTCGCAGGATTTACGACTTATGGTGTTTCTGTGTGATGTACTGAAATATCAGGCAAGGCTGTTTACACCGATGATATGCCCCTACTGCCTGATGAACTTCACTGCGAGCTGCTGGTTTCCACAAAAGCCAGAGCCAAGATAGTCAGCATCGATGCCTCAGCTGCTGAGCTGGTCCCAGGATTTGTGGACTTCACCAGCGCCAAAGATATTCCAGTCAGTGAACCGAAAGAGGAGGAAGGCCTGACAGAGGCGGCTAAATGAGAGCGTCTGCTTGGCTGCAGGGAGTCAACTGGGTCGGGTCAATTCTCCCAGATGAAGAGGTCTTCGCAACCTCGCAGGTTCTCGCAAACCTTCCTTGGAGGATTGACAAAAGACACAAAAAGAAAGAACCTGGGCCCTCTCCTCTCAGGTCTATTGCGTCGGACAACCTCTTGGCGTCGTCGTCGCAACAAGTCCTGCGGCCGCGAAAGAAGCGATGTTTGCGGTCAAGGTGGCGTACGAAGAGTTGCCTGCTGTAATCTCCATCGAAGATGTAAGAAAAGATGTCGGACGGGAATCTGCAAAGTTCTGGTTTGACCATTGTGATCTTGTGTGGAGGCCATTCACGAGAGGTCCTACTTTGACTTCGGCCCGGCCCTGCCGCACCAAACCGCCCTAACCGTCGGACGCGTGACAAGCGAAAGGTATACTACGACGATGGCGCGTGGAAGTACAGCGTTGTGGTGCATTATTCAGGCATCGGCACATGGACAAGGCTGAAGCTCTGGACGCTCTAATGAAAGAACTCTCCGAGGACGACAACGTGGCAATCGCTGAAGGAGAGATCTACTTAGGCGGACAGGAGCATTTCTATCTTGAGCCGCATGCAACAAGAGTTGAGCCAGGTAAGACGCGGTGATATGATGAAATCGGCACCTTCAGAACTTTGTTCTTCAGGTGAGAATGATGAGTACATCGTGACCAGCTCAACTCAAAATCCATCCAAGACGCAAAAGCTCGTGTCGATGGTTTTGGGCGTTCCTCGACACAAGATTGTCTCCAAGTGCAAGCGCATGGGTACGAAGAATGTGTTGCACCTCCGTTGTATTCGATCCAGTCAATGGAGCCTCTCCGGTTTCAGGAGGCGGATTTGGGGGCAAGGAAACCCGATCCTGTTTCTTCTCGGCTTACGCAGCTGTCGCCTCGCACAAGCTGAAACGGCCGCTCCGCTTGGTGCTCGATCGAGACGTTGATATGGCGACATCCGTGAGCAAGAAAGCTCCCTCACACCGTGTGTTCATTCTTTCATCCTTTGACGCGCAGGGACAACGTCACGCCTTTCTGGCGAGGTGGCATGGGAGACGAGGAGAGACCGACCCTCACGATACGTCAACAGATCTTTTGGTGCACTTTTTGTTCAGGTACAAAGTTGCAGCTGACAAAACAACCAAGAAACTGCTGGCTGCGTCGGTGGAGCTCTTTAATAATGGTGGCTGGTCAACCGATCTTAGCGTTCCGGTAAGGTGCTTTGTCCTGTGTTTTCTCGGGGTTCTCAAGTTGCCTCATTCAACTTCCTTCTGGATAGGTGTGTGAGAGGGCGTTGTTCCACTGCGAGAATGTAACGACCGGAAATCTGGCATGGCAACAATCACGCAGTAATCAAGCTTTTTCTCTCTCTCAGGTCTACTTCATTCCCAACACTTCCTTTGTCGGCCACGTCTGCAAGACGAACATTCCATCGAATACGGCGTTCCGTGGATTCGGAGGCCCACAAGGGATGTTTGTGTGCGAGGTGTACATGGATCACATCGCTCGAGAGCTTGGCACAACCCGTGAGGCTTTGGCACACGAGAATCTTTATAGGTGAAGGTCCACTAGCACACGTACATGAGACCTGTCGATAGAAGACGGTTGCTTCATGGTCGCTGCAGGATCGGACAGATCACGCCATACGGCCAGGAGTTAGATGAGGACCATGTATTCGTCATGTGGCAGAAGATACTGCAGACGTCAGACTACGAGAATCGTCGGAAAGCCATTGAGCAGTTCAACCTTGCCAACCGCTACGTCAAGCGAGGGCTATCCATTGTCGGAACGAAGTTTGGCGTAAGCGCACTCAGCGTTCTGACAGGTTGATTTCTTCGTTATGTGCACACGCCTCTCTTATGTGCCTACCTACAGATGTCATTCACCAAAGTGGGTGAATTCTGAACGGAAGTTTTTCGTTCCGCAGGGGGTTTATCTGCTGTTTTCCATTATTCTTGCACGACAGACTTTCATGAATCAAGCCGGCGCTCTGGTTCACGTCTACCAGGATGGAACTGTCCTTGTCACGCACGGAGGCACGGAGATGGGGCAAGGTCTCCACACAAAAGTGGCACAGGTGCGAATAACCTGAGTCACCTGTTGAACTGTTGTTGAGGTGGTACATAACAAGGACGTTGTGACATTCAGGTTGCTGCTTCCGCGTTCGATATACCTTTGTCTGCCATTTACATCTCCGAGACATCCACTGACAAAGGTATGCTCAGACACGCAAGAATTTGAATCTGTTTTTCATGTAACATCCACGTTCGCTTTTCAGTTGCGAACACTCACCCTACAGCTGCTTCAGTTGGGAGTGACATCAAGTCAGCGTGACTCAAGGAAGAATTCGTTTAGCTCTCTGGAAGCTTATCCTCCTTTCTTGGATTTTGTAGCGGTTTTGCTGTCCTGGAGGCGTGTAGGAAGATCTTGGAAGGTTTAGGGCCGTATCTGAGTCGATGCCGAACCCCGCAGCCAACGACTGACGAAGAGCGAATCAGCACGCTGGCAAAAGCTGCGACCCTGGCACACTTTGACAGGGTCAATCTGTCCGCCAATGGGTTCTACGCAACTCCAGACATCTCGTAAGGAAGCCTCTGTTTCGTTGAGAAGGAACTCGAGCCAAGGCGTTGAACTGCATTGCTTGGTGTCTGTATGCTTGCTAAGGTGGGATTGGGTGAAGTACACAGGCAAGCCCTTTTATTATTTTGGACACGGTGTCGCGTGCACTGAAGTTGAAGTAAGCTTCAGAACTGAGCTGCATTGACTAGCGACTCCACTTAAGCCTACACTGCGACTCCTGTTCAGGTGGATGCGCTGACTGGCGATCACAAGGTCATCCGTGCTGACGTCTTGCATGATGTCGGCAACTCCTTGAATCCCGTCATTGATATCGGACAAGTAAGGGCAATGAATGGCTGTGTTGATCCCATGAATCCCCCCTGTCTGGTGTCAATCAGATCGAAGGTGCATTTGTCCAAGGCCTGGGTCTGTTCACGATAGAGCAGGTGGTCTTCAACAACAACGGGCACTTGTTTACCAAAGGCCCAGGTACCTACAAGATCCCGACAGCCCTCGACATTCCCCGCGATTTTCGCGTGAGCCTCCTCCCGAACGCACCATCCAAGTCTTCCACGATTCACTCCAGCAAAGGAGTGGGTGAGCCGCCGCTGTTTCTTGGCTCCTCCGCTTACTTCGCGATCAAGAACGCGTGTTACGCTGCACAGAGGGACGCGCTTGCATCTCTGGCATCGCATAGCTGCAAGATTTCGTGAGCACATGATCACAACTGGAAGTGGCCGCCAAAAACGGATTTGTCTGTTGGTCGTCTGGCAGAGGCGGAGGTTTAAGCCAAGGCACCACTCGGACGTTAACAAATGGCTGCGAGAGTGACGAGGACACTATTGACACCACTGATTGCGCGTCAACCAATGGCCACACCTCTCTGAACGGCGCTCAGTCTGAGCTCCAAACTGGTGATCCACCGTCCAAAGCCAGTCCCTTGAGCCCGCCTTACTTCAGGATGGATGGAGGTGCAACTTCTGAACGGATTCGCTTGTCTTGCTGGGACGATATGAATGTGCGCGTGAGGAAGGGCGACTTCGATGCTGCCAGGCACTGGGCGCCCCTTGCCTAGCTTCAGGAGATGCCTTGCGCTACATGTCTCGCTTTTGTTGGCAGACTCGTTTTCCGTTTTGTTGTTAGCATTAGTCCGTGTCCGTCTGTGTGCGCTTTATAGAGATAGTCGCGAGTTTTTCATCTTGAACGAACACGTTCAGCATGAGTGTGTCTTCGATCTGACCTGCCCCGGGTCTTTTTCGCCTCAACAGCTCTAAGGTGAAGAGATGCACGGCAGCAAGATATAATGTCAAAGACATCAACTCCCATTAAGGTCTGCATATGAAGATGACCGTATCCCTGTCTGTACACACGAACGCATAGTGACATGGATATCCACACCACAGCCACTCCCTCAAAGTCGCCACCCTCCGCCTTCCGCGTCCATCCATCCACCTTCACACACCCCAGTCCGCCCCCCGAGCTCGACCTATCCATGTGCCGACCGCCCTATCCCCTCCATCGCCATCCCGCTACCTGCCCATGTACAGCTACACTGGTGCCTTGTTTGTCTCGGATCCAGCTGCGGGGGGAGGGCGTCGGCTCGCTGGGGGTGGATGCCATGCGCAGGCGCCCGTGCTGCGGCCGGTGGGCGTCTTGGGTGCGGGTGACATCTCGGTCACGCTTCTGTAGCTCGTGTGTCGGCCCGCCGGCGACGAGGGCAGGGTGTCCTTCTTGAGGGTCTTCTTGGGCCTCCTCGTTGTTCACCTCGGGGTTCTTGTCGTGCTGTCCAACCCGGCCCAAACTTGCACAGGCCGAAGACACACGCTGCGAGCCAAATGGAGACGAACCAGAACACGTAGGATCAAGAGACATAGGGATGAGAAATGAGACATGAGACACGCATCGATAGGTTAGAGAGGCTGGGGGGTGTCTCGGAGGGGAGGGATTTGCAGCCTGCATCATCATGTTGACACCATGCATCATCATGTTTGACTGACCTTTCTGCCGCGCTCCGGTCTCCTTCGGCGACCTCCGCATCAATCGATGCACATGCTGCCTGTCTGTCGTGCACACACAGCCCTTCCGACATGCCGTCACATACGTATTGACCAACGCTGAGACACAAACAGCAAATCCCTCTTCGATCTAGCGGCCGATTCAGATTATCGACCACTCGCTTCTTCCAAATGATCGATCAGTCAACAGTCCTTTGAAGAGCAGTTGTCCTACAGTTGAGAGCACAGACTCAGTCCACCTACGCTTTCCACAGTGGGGACCAGACTTGCGGCAAGCGTTCATGGTGAAGGCGGGCGTCAGAGCCTCAGAGGCAGCCTGCGCTCTGTGGAATGCGTCAAACCCACGGTGCGAATGAATGTGTGTTGTGTCGCCACATTCATCTGCATGTCTCTGCTTATGTGTCCTTATGTGTCCTTGTGTTGCATGTCTGTAGATTTTGTTCGCTTCACTACGCTTCACATCTTAGTCGTTGCGTTCGCGCTTCACATCTTAGTCGTTGCGTCTCCCATCGCCAAGAGCGTTTTGCAGAAGAAGTGCCCCCGATGCGAGCTTACTATTGGGGGCGAGACTGGAGGCCCCCAGGAATCACAGGCCGCCACCAGCTTGCCACTTCACACGACCAAACAATGAGCAGGGGCGTGTTGGTGTGCTTCGAAGAGTACCAGAAGGCCAGGGTAGGTTGCCCACACTGCCGCCAGCGGTTGCCACTGCCACGGCAAAGCTTTGCTGTTCACTAATGCAGGTCACGTTTGTTCAGCAAATTGCTGATCTCGCCACACGGCCGCAGAACATTGGTGTCCTGCAGAATGCGGGTAATGGGATGAGTCACTTCAATCATTCCACACCGTACCATATGATGGCTTTCTCATCGTCGTGCTTGCACTGCAATAGGGGTCATGGCCTTGTTGCGGCCACTTCTTCTGGACAATGTCGCCTCAATCCAGCAATCGGCGGCCTTAGCCCTCGGTCGTTTGGCGAACTACAGCGAGGAGCTCGCGGAGGCCGTTGTGACGCATGAGATCCTCCCGCAGCTGGTCTACTCCCTCGCCCAACAGAACGTCCGTGGGCAAGGGCCGTCGTCTGCAAGGACCCCACAAACATCCGCACTTGTTGTCCCTCCCGTGACTGTGGCAGCGTTTTTACAAGAAGGCTGCTGCATTTGTCCTGCGTGCCGTCTCAAAGCACTCGCCCCAGCTTGCCCAGGTCAGTCCACAAAGAGGGTGTGTTTGCTCGCGCAGATGCCTATTTGCTTATGCCGCGCTCCGATATATGGGTACGTGTCTGTGTGTCTGTGTGGCTGTCTCGATTCAGGCTGTTATTGACAGTGGTGCTCTCGATGCACTGGTTGCCTGTCTCGAGGAGTTCGACCCGTCAGTCAAAGAAGCTTCAGCATGGGCCCTAGGTACATACCCACTGCCTGCGTTCTTTACGCGCTGAGTGCCCATCAGTTGTCTTACTACCGTTGCCGTCGACTGCCTTCAGGCTACATAGCTCGTCACACGAAAGAGCTGGCACAGAACGCTGTGGACGCCGGAGCTGTGCCGTTGTTGGTGCTTTGTTTTCAGGTACCATGCGTGCCACGCAAATGTGTGGCTGGCGACCGGCCTTATTTAAGCGCACAATGGCTGCGTCTCTCCACACCTCGCTCTGCACATTCAGGAACCCGAGCTTACCCTGAAGCGCATCTCAGCGAGTGCACTCTCCGACATATCCAAGCACTCTCCCGAGCTCGCACAGGTCGTTTATGGCGAATCTTCGCCCATCCGCAACCAGGCAGCTGCGCTCACGTGCTCGTGTCTGTGTCGCGTGGCTCGGCAGAGCGTCGTGGACGCCGGAGCGGTAACACTTCTGGCCAAGGAGATCTCTCACGTGGATGCAGCTCTCAAAAGACAAGTACGGCGAGCACTTGCTCAAAATGGTGACAGGGTAGTGCCTGGTGGACGTACGTGGCGCCTTCCTCCAGGTGTGTGGGTGTCTCGCCCAGATCGCAAAACACTCGGTCGACCTGGCCGAAGTAGGTTGGCTGTCACTGGTTTTGCATGTCTCTCCCATGTCACACCACACTGGCTGCTCACGAGCCGACCGGTCGTGCGTGGTCAGGTTGTGGTGGAGGCCGAGATTTTCCCCCGCATCCTGCACTGCTTGAAGGATACGGACGAGCTTGTCAGGAAGAATGCAGCCACTTGCCTGCGGGAAATCGCCCGCCACACACCCGACTTGGCCAAACTCATAGTCAATGCAGGTCAGCAGGCGGAAAAAGGCTGGCCTCCAGTCAGCTTGTGTGGATGGTTGATATCGTGACGTCCGTAGGTGGCGTGGCGGCGATCGTCGATTTCGTCACCGAGGCGAGAGGGAACAACAGGTAAGTAAGCGACACAACCCTATGTGGGCAGCCGTACTGAAGACGAGGCGCTCTGATGAATGTGTGATGGGTCTGACGGGTGCTCCGTCTTTCAAGGCTGCCGGGAGTCATGACGCTTGGTTACATAGCGGCTTTTTCTGAGACTTTGGCTCTGGCCGTCATAGTGTCCAAGGGCATCCCGCCACTCAAGGACACCCTCATGAATGAGCAGGAGGACCACATCAAGGCTGCTGCGGCATGGTAGGTAGCTGACACCCAGGAGTATACTGCCCACACACCACACGACCTCTGTGCGTGTGTGTGTGAAGGTCCCTTGGTCAGATTGGTCGTCACAGCCCGGATCACGCACGGGCGCTGGCTGAGGCGGACGTGTTTCGGAGGTTATTGGCGGTGTATCTCTATCAGGAGTCGAGTGAGGACCTCAAGACAAAGGCCAAGAGGGCGCTCAAGAGCGTCCTGCAAAAATGCACACACTTGCCCGCACTCGAGCCCCTGCTGCAAGAGGCACCGCCCAACATACTCAAGTCAGACACACAGAAGCACACCCCCGGGGGCTCACACACCAGCGAGCGAGGCAGAGGGAGGAGCCTCTGTGTGCAATGCATTCAACCATGCGCCCCTTTTCCCTCTCCGTGTTGGTTTGGCTTACTTACCGCAGGTACGTTGTGCAGCAGTTCGCCAAGGTGCTGCCCCATGACCTGCAGGCAAGACGTTCATTCGTCCAGTCGGGCGGCCTGCAGAAGATCCAGGTGGCCTCCCATTCGCGCTGGAACAGGCTCTGTACTGTTCACTGTGTCTAATGGATGGATGTATGTATGTCACCACAGGAAATCCAGGCCGAGCCCGGAACCAAACTGAGAGACTACATCGAGTAGGGATAGATAGTCGATACGACACTGGTCCCCAGCTCACTCATGGCTATGTATGCTTCTACCGCGTGTCTCTGTTCCAGCGAGATCAACCAGATCTACCCACCGGAAGTGGTACGGAGGCGGCCAGGAACTCAAGACTCAGCGCACAGAAAAGCTCCAACAGCCAGCTGTGTGTGTTCATCTGCTGTGTCTGTGGTCAGGTGCTGTATTACACGCCAGGCTATGCCTCGACTCTTCTGAAGGTCAGACGAGACATGGTGTCTCTCTACGTAGCATCCATCACCTCCCTCTTATGTGTACGTTTCTTCAGAAGCTGGAGGGGGCCGAATGAAACGGAGAAGTCCGCAGACTTGGCCCCGCCCGTGTCTCCATACATGTGTATGTACGCACATACATGTATATATACGACTGACTGACTGATGGGTGGAGCGCTATGAGACATGGGCTGACTGCATGCCCTGGGCTGACCGACACTCGAGTGCTGAAACCATGCTGTTGCTGCATTGCATATGTTGAAGATAGCTCTCGTGCATTTGCTTCACTGCTGCCTGCATGGAGTCAGTCCATCTCACGCACCCAACCCACACGAGCTGGATTGATTATACACGACACCCGCCCACTCACTCCAAGGACATCCATGCATCCACCATCCTGTCTCGTTTGTCTGTTTTGCGGCGTCTTGGTTCCTTATTTCCTTCCTTCAGGGCCCTTCTGATGGCAGTCCGGACGGTGGGTTGTTGAGCGGGGTTGTCTTGGCCTCGGCAGGGACCTGCTGGGTGGTGAACTCTGGCGGCAGGTGCACTGGAGGATCGTGCACATAACGGGGCCTGCCAGGCAACAAGTGTCCAACTCACGACCTCACCTTCCTTCGCCCTTCCACTTACTCGGCCTTTTCGATAATTGGCGGCAAGTGTGTGACTTCCTGCACACATAATTTCGCCGCCGACTGTCCCTCGATTGGGTCCATGTACTGACTGACTCTTTGGGCTGCTTACCACCATTGGGTATGGCTGTATGATGATGGGTGCATCGCCAGGTACAGGGACATCCACATACTCGTCCACGAACTCGGGCACCTCGACGTGACGGATCTGCTCGACGGGTTTGGCCACAGCCGCTGGCTTGCCGTCATGGCCAACTGGCACCGGGATGGGCTTGTGTACTATGATCTCCTTCTCCACTGAAGGAAGGAGAACATTCATGCGTACGTGCACACACATGACCGAGCCAGGGACAGGCGTGCAGGGACAGGACAGGACAGCACATCACGGGATAGGGCAGAGAGGAGACACAGTTCAATGAGTCAGAGAATGGCAGGTTCTCAGGTCCTTCTTGTCTCGCCTGGCACTTCGACGGGTATTTGTATGATCCTGCCACTGCCGGGTGGTTTGGAGCCGAGGACACTTCGGTTCTCGCCCAGCCCTGCTGACCCCATGGGCACGGGCACGTCAATCACTGGACCGGGGACAGGCACGGGGTAGGGCTTCTCTACCTCAACAATCTGCATCCATCCACATGTATGCATGTATGAATGTATGTATGAATGTATGTATGTAGGCAACAAGCAAGCAAGGAAGGAAGGAAGGAAGGAAGCCAGACGGCACGCCCAGGCCACGAGACACGTGGCCAATGAATAAATGGCGTTGGAGCAAGCATTGGAGTACCTGTGAGGACGGCACTTCGACGTATTTGATCTTCTCGACGATCTCCACTTTTCCCGAGTGCACCACCTTCGGCACAGGCACACCCACATACTGAGCCACACACACACCCAGCCCGACACAGGGGGCCACTGATGCCGATGCATGTGTCGTGCACAGGCAGGCCAGGAGTCCCTTATGTGTTGGTGACTCGTGCAGTGACCTGCACGGGTCCCGGGACGTGTCTGATTTTCTCGACAACTTTGGTCATGCCCATGGGTACGGATCTGGTGGCTCCGTCGACGGGGAGGACACCATCGGCCTTGGGCACCTCCTTGATGACCTCCTGCACCTGGGCCACGCCCATCGGCTTGTCCACGTACTGCACAAACGGCACCTCTACAATGCGCTCCGCATACTAAGAGGTGCGTGGGGCGCGGGGGGCAACAACATACAGGAGCGAGAAAGACAGAGACAGGAGTGCGAGCGAATCGACGCATGGACAAACAGACAGACGGAGAGGCCACACACAGCGGGAAAGTCATTCATTCACCTGGACTTGGACCTTCGGTATCCCGCGGACAATCTCCTGCAGCCAGACAAAAGAGACGACAGAGTCCGTCTCTGTGCCTCACGCATATCGCGCGCGGGTTGTCTTTGGAGCGTCAGCCAACAGCCGTCAGCGTACCTGCACTTCAAATTTTGGGACTTCTCGAATGACTTCCTGGATCTGGGGCACCTCAACAAACTTGTCCACTGCATAAGGCATATTCATGGACAGATCCGCACAGACGCGTCTGTGTACCGTTCTATGTATGTGTGTATGACAGCAAGTGACTGACCTGTGTGCACTTGGGGCACCTCGACAATCTTCTCGGTGTATACGGGCTCATACTTGGGCACCTCCTTGATCACCTCCTGTATCGTCACCTTGGGCTTAATGACCTCCACCAAATGAATCTCGGGAATCTGACAAGCAGGCAGCGCAGACAGGTGGAGGGAGGGAGGGAGGGAGGGAGGCCCGCACACAACCAATCAATGGATGCACAACCAGCCGGCCGAAAGCGGGGTGGGTGGTGAGGACAATGCATTCATGAATCATCCGTCTCGTGTGTGTGAGGATCTCGGTACGTACGTACCTCCACAATGCGGTCCCGCACTTGGACCTCCTGGTGCACGGGAATGTGTAACACATGCGGCTCACCCGCGGATGGTGGGGCCTGCAGATTAAGACATCAAATCGGACCATCTTGACTACATTGTTGACCATTAGTCGTCTGTCGGGTGGCCGTAGCGGCTCTCTTGGTTGTGTATTTGTGTCCGTATGAGCATATTCATTCGTGTGAGTGTGGTGAATTACTCACCGTCTGCGCGTGGGGCCCAGGGTTCGTGTGTAGGCATCGCGTCTGGGGCGGAGGGAGCGGTTGTGACTGCATACTCGGAAGTACTTTTTCGGTCCTCGATTCCGTGGGGCTCTGAGAGAGTTCGCGCATGCAGTATTTTCAGATCGATACCTCTGGGGGCAGCGGCGGCCCCATGCGGCCACAGTCATAATTAGCTAAGACCCGCTAACATTCATATCCACATTTGGTGTCGGCCCATGTGCCGGGCCCTCTGCTCGTCCAGGGCGCTGGCAATAGATCGTGAATCGTCAGACTTCTGAGGCGGAGAAGATATATGCTATGTGCACGTCAAATCACTGTATGCGTAAACATCAATTCATCGAGGTCAAAAATTAGTCCTGGCATGGCGAGGTACTGTTACAGAGCTGGCTGGCCAGAAGACATGGATACAAAGCACTCGAAATTCTCCCTTCGTTTTCTACACGCATACACGGAGCAGTAGCAGTGTATGTATGCATATGCGGAAATCCCTTTCTTTGCCGCTCGCCACGCTCATGCCGCCACGCCCTTTGGATTCGACTCGACCCTCAGTGATTGCCTCTGTGCCCTGAGTGATGCACCACAGTTTGCACATACAATGTCTGCCGATGCTCCGAACCCCTCGACGCCGAGGACGTCTCCAAAGAGGATGCGGTTTTGATATCCGCAGTTCGGGCATGGGCCGTAAGCGATGAGTGGGTCACGCTGCAATGAATGGCAAAGAGAAAGAAGAAAGGGCATGGTATGGTTTTGTGTGTGATGTCTCTGTGTGTCTCTCTTCTTACGAGGAAGAGGTTCTCGGTGCCGGCCTTGGCCAGGGTCCAGATGATGGGCGAGCCGATGAGCAGATTGAGGAAGGGATTCACACTCCGCAGCACAGGGATGAACTCGAACGCCAGGAACGACCACAGCACGGTGCTCACGGCTAGCCACGGCAAATACACCATGTAGTTGCGGATACGATCTTTCTTCCACGTCACACGACAAACGCCTGAGTGGGTGGACAGACAGACAGGTGGGTGGGGTGGAGAGAGGGGTGGATGCGGCCAACAGAGTGAGTGCAGTACGATCAAAATAGAGAGAATCATTGACGGTCGGACCGGCGGCCACAAGGTGCGTGCAATCAGCGCCTGGCTGCCTGGCTGCCAGGCTGTCCACCCCACCTACCCACCTACCTGTATCGACGGCACACTTGGGGTCGCTGGTGACGGCGATCCGGCTGCCTTGGTTCCTGAGTTCGGCTTTGAGGGTATCAAATTCTTCGTCGGTCATGATGGGCTGCCCCTTCATGTATGCCGACATGGCGTTGAGGAAGAGGGTCTCGTTGCGCGTGAGGAATATCACATCACTGCCCTCCCACGCCAAGTCCTGCTTGAGCAGATCGAAGTCGCCGTCAGTCAGCGCCTGCCGACCGCTGGAGTAGTACGACTGCAGCGCATCGAGGAACACACGCTCCTTTTCAGCTGTCGTCAGCTTGACAGGGTTGCCGCAGTTGTCGAGCCGGACAAACTCCTCCCGGTCCTCTTCCTCACCCGCCTGCAGGTATCAGATAACAGATTGATAGAGAGGTGCAATGCATGAAGTAAATGAAGGGATATCGTGTACGGACGGACGGACCATCCTCGGCACGGATCTTGCTGCCTGTCGACGCCTTGAAAGAATCAGCGACTGAAAGTAGCAGCACGAGCCAGCCACAGCAAAGGCACAGGCAGAGAATGCATCATGGCGTACGTGCGCCTTGTGTCTGTGATGGTGATCACCGGGCGCACCGGCACCACTGCTCCTGGTGATGGCGGCACAAACGCCAAACGTTCATCACCACTGCTCCTGGTGATGAACGCACACAGCGACAGCCACACCCACTTCATTTCTCAAACCGCTATGTGCTCCACGAAGTTACCAACGCAATGATGTAGGGCGGCTGTAAAACACAAACACTTGCGCTCGCACGGCAGGGACTGTACTGCCAATGCGCACTGCTGGCAGAGGCTGCTTATACTTATTGACTTGGGTTTGAGCAGCTATGGCAGCTGAGGGGAGAGATCTGTGCCACAGCCACCATGAAAAGGGGAGGGTCTCTGCCCTCAGCCAGTTCAGAAACCCGATAGGCAAACGCATCAAAAACACCAAGGTGGGTGAGCACACACTGGACAGACAGCCAGACAGCCAGACGCTTTCAGCCACCAAGAGGTAGGAAAAGTAGCTGGCCTCCCTCAGACCACACCTCCGTCGGTCGGTTGTGTGTGTGCAGGTCAAGTACGTGTGGTTGCTGGCGTGGGAAGGCTGCTCCATCTCATGCGAACTAACACACTCACGGTGGGCAGGGCACCGAGAGGGAGGCAAACATCACATCACATACACACCACCATCCGACTGCCAGCAGCTCGATAGACATTCTTGTCCTGTGTCTGTCTATGTGTCTGTTTGTGCGTCGTTTCAGCCTGACGGGGAGAAAGCGTGAGGCCTCCGCCACTCCCTCCACCAGATGCCTGCTTGCCTGCCTTTTTGTGTGTCCCCTTGATTCATTCAGGCATCCGGTGCACCAACTCGCCGTCGTCGTCGTCCCAGCAAATACAGAGGTACGGACACACGCACGCACGCACGCAGGCACGGACGAAGGCCAGGCAGGCAGATGCGAGATGCTGTCTGTGTGCGTGGGACAAGTGCTCCCCCACCGTACCGACCGAGGGTGCATTGATTGCATGACTGTATTGTCCCCTCCCTCCCTCCCTCCCCTGCCTGACTGCGCAGGCGTGACCTTGCGGAGTATTTGTACGAGAGCACTCAACGTGGCGGGGGCTTCAAGCACAAATGGACGCTGCAGTCCATCCACGGCGACGCAACTATCACACTCGAAGTGCTACAGGCGTACAGAGGTCAGGAACAACGCATAAATACACGCAGAGGGATGTCGCTCAGCCGTCATCTCTCTCTCTCTCTCTCTCTCTCTCTCCATGTGTGTGTGTGCGTGCGTGTGTGTAGGCTTTGATTTACGTGTGAATGACGTCAGTTTCGCAGACTTGGTCCAGGACATGTCCCTCGATTCGCCGAAAGGAGGTGAGAGGGCTGGGCTGACGGGAAGGCATCAGCGGCCTGACCTGACGCCCACCCGGTTCTGGGATGTACACATGCATACTTGTGCTCCTTTCCTTCCTCTGTGTGTGCAGCTGATCGAGGTGAGGAGCTGGACCTCTGCTTAGATCACATACAGCCCATCAGCCGCCTGGGTACGTACGACCGTCATGGGCGCGACACAATCGGAGCATCACCAGCATTGGCACTGCCCTCTCTCATGTGGTTGATTGATTTGTGTGTGTACGGCTCGTTCGTTTCGCTCATGATTCAGTTGAGTTCTCGCGGGACCGCCTGGACCTGATGGCGGATGAGGCCTATGTGCCCCGGCCGTCTGCTGCCACAGCGTCCATGTTCATGCTGCCCCACTGCCACACGGTTGGCCACTCTGAGCCGGCGATGCTGTCGTCCCCCTCCCCGCTGCCATACCAAGGCTGGCCACCCAGGAGTCTGTCGGTGCCCAACCTGCTGGCGGGGAGCAGCGGGCCGTGCATGCCACACACGACGCCCCAAGGCATCCCCATGGCATATGACCATGCCACTGGCACTAGCCACCCACTGTTCCACCATACACCCCTGCCCCCACCGGCAGAGTGTGGTGGCGGCTTCCCTTCAATAGGATCCTTCGACAGCACTGGCGGAGTCATCTCACTTGAGAGACGAGTAGCGGTAAGCAGCACCGGGGCGGGCGGGCGGGCGGCACCACCCTGTCTGTCTGTCTGTCTGTGCTCCCTGCCTGCGTGTGCCGATGTCTCTTGTCCCCCCCCAGTTGCTTGAGCACACTGTGCAGAGGCTCCGGGACGAGGCCACCGGCACTACGACAACAGGTCCGTTGGACAAACAAACCCTCACATGCAGCAAGCTTATCTGCCATCTTGCCGTTGGTTTGCGCGTTCCTTGTTCCTTGTGGTTGCTCTCTGTCTGTCTGTCTGTCTGTCGTTGGTTGTTGTCTGATACGTACATGTATGTGTCATTAGGTGGCCGTGATGAGTCGGTGTCGCCTGTGAGCGACGAGGTGCACCGACTGCGGGCGGAGCTGGCGCACATGCGAGAGCAGCACGAGGGACTCACCCAGCAGTACGCCCAGCTGCAGCGGGACCATGCCGCACTCCTCACCGAGCACGAGTGGCTCAAGACCAAACACGCAAACTACATCCGCGCCATTCCCCTCATCGACAAGGCCGCTGAGGCACCCACCCCACCACCCATCCCGCCTTCCCACGGTGGACACACACCTCGCGACGTTGGCATTGCCGGCAGGAAGGCCAGCGCGTTTGCGGCTCGTCGTGGTAGCAGGGCGGCCGAGGCGGCTGTGGGGCAGGACGAGGCTCACCCGACACCGGCCAGGCGTGAGCGGCACACGCGCGAGCGGCGCCACCGCACGGTGTCTCCCACGTGCCGGTCGTCCTTATCTCGGGCCAAGGCGACGTACTCGTTTGGCGCGAGGGGTGGGATTGGGTACGGGGGTGTGGGCAAGGGGGCACACCAAGACGAGGAGCAGCAGCGCCTGCTCCAGGTCAAGGAAGATGACGACGCTTCAGGTTTGTATTAACTAAAGGCCGTATGTCCAGAGGCATCCAGAGAGATGGCACCGTGCAGACTCATGGGACCGGCGTGCGTGCGTGCGTACACTGTGGATATGTATGTGTTGGTGCAGGCGAGTCGCCGTCAGTGATGCGTATTGCCCGTCTGGTGCCCGGGCGGATGCAGCAGCAAGATGGGAGGGGGGGCGAGATAGACTTAGATGACAATGCCATATGACGGGAGGGGAGGGAAGGTGAGGCACGCGGTTGAGGGGTCGAGTATAGATGCTGCATGCATGTATTGATTGATGCATACGTACGTACGTACGACGTACATGTTGCTTGCTGCGTGTGCCTGAATGGATGGATGGATGCGTGGGTGAATGATTGATTGATCGTGGCTGGCTGGCTGCGTGGCGTGGTTTGTCCCTCACGGTCGAGGTGACGGAAAAATGCCTGCCCATTTCGTGGGGTCGGGCGACCACGCATTTTGCTGTAGGTGTGTGTCGTGTCTATACATACGTGTGGTGGGCAGGCAGGCAGGCAGGCAGTAATTACTGCCATGTGTATGGACCAGAGGCAGTAATTCGGTAGTGGTGCATTGCATTGCATGTGTGTGGGTGTGTGCAGACACTTTGTCTCACTTGGTAGCAGAGACAGACAGACATTCGAGAGACGAACGACATTTGTGTGCATGGCATGATGGATGAATGTCGCCAGCAGGATTCATCGACTGACCAAGGCGAGGTGATGTATTCAGTGACGATTGACTTGTCGAGCGATCGATTGATTTGAGTCCTCCCCGCCTGCCGGCCGTCTGTCTGTCTGCCTGACACCTTTCTTCAGCTGTCTGTCTGTCGCTGGCTTGCTCACTCACTCTCACCCAAAAATGAGAAACAGACAGACAGACAGACACCCTCTCACTCACCTCTCACACATTCAGTAGGAACGCACACATTCCTTCCTTTTATCATGACATGCATACGTATGTATGTGTGTATCGATCACGCAACCGCCTTTCCGTCAGTCCGTCCGTCTGCCGCCCTGACTACGTACGATTGGTTGTGCAATTACTTGGCCTTGGCCTTTGGTTTGGCCTTGGCCGCTCCAGCCTTGGGCTTCGCCTGAATGCATGAGCCAATCAATGAAAACAACAGACAGGGAGGGAGGGAGGGAGGGAGAGGAGAGGGATTTAGCAGCGTGTGCGCCAGTCAGTCACGTCCTCCTGTCTGTCTCCTTCCTTGTCCTTCACCCATTATGTATCCGCATGTACGTACATGCGCACGTGCGTACGTACCTTAGCGCCAGCACCAGCAGCAGCCTTGGTCTTGGCTCCGGGTTTGGCAGCTGCAACCTTTGTCTTGGCCTTGGGCTTCGGGGCTGCACGCACAAACCAACCAACCAACCAATCAACCAAGCAACCAAGCAACCACGCCCATAGGCAATCTGCCTGTCAGGCTGGCTAGCTGCCTGCCTGCCTGCCTAACCGGGCGGCGCTTCCTCGGTTTCAGCCGGCGGCGGGGCCGTCGCCTCGGCTATGAAGTCCTGATGGGCGCACGGCATCATGTATCAAAGACACACAACAACACAGCAGTGACACAGGTGAGGTATGTATGTGGGTCGTGTGCAGTGTGTGTGTCTGACGATGAATGACTTCCACTCAACACCATCGCGAATGACCACAACACCGTCCTTCTCAGTGATGAACGCCTGAAGGGGAGGGAGGAACGGGGATCGATGGGGAGGAGGACGGGTGCCCGCCTACCTACCTACCCTACCTCTTGTCCGTTGAGTAGGTACATGGGTGGATCCACCTTGCTGATCTTCAAGTTGATGTCCGGATGGTTCTACACACACACACACACAAAGGCGGGTAGGTGGAGACATGGACGAGTGTCCCGGGTGTGCTGTCATGTCATGCTGCTGTGCTGTCCATCCGAAGTGGTGGTGTGGTTTGGTGTGGTGTGGTGTGTTATACGTTGACGAAGTCATTGAGGTAGACGTCGATGGGGTCCGACGCATCGCCGCCCTGAACGCCACTCAACACACCGCCAGCACCGCCGCCCTGCACACCACACACCCAACCAAGAATATAGAGACACGCGCCCGGTAGATGGGTGGCAGCTGTCCCCCACAGACCCGTGCCGCAGGTCGGCTCTCAAATCTCTCCGGGTGCAGCTCACGCTGGGCAAGGAGGAGGCAGGCAGGCAGGCAGGCAGACACACAGACAGGCCGACAAGGAGCGGCGTGTGGTGTGTCCACCCACCTGCCTCCGTCTTTGCGCTTACTGACCTCGTGTTCGTCGATTTGTCGTTGGAGGTCTGCGTTTGACTTCTTGAGCATCTCCAGCTCCTGAGACAACTTGTTGATCAACTGCATACACGCTGAGCGACACAATACGACACAACACAACACAACACAACCACACTCCGTCAAATAAAGTGGTCGTTGGCGTGGTATGTGGTCCACCATCGCTGCCTCCCTCCCTCCCTTCCTTCCCGGCTCCCTGGCTGACTTTGGACTTCAGTCTTGGTCTGTGCGTATTGCATCATGAAGTTCATCATGTCAGGGCGCCTCTGGCTGGGCGGCAACTGCTGCATGGCGACAAAACAGCAAACAATCAAGCGGGGACTTCAACCAACCAACCGACACGCACTGTCCGTCCCCCGTGTCTCATGTTGGTTGCCCGTCCGTCCGTCCGTCCGTCCGTCCGTCTGAGTGAGTGTGTGTGTGTGTGTGTTGGTCGGCGTGCGTACCATCATCATCATGTGCATGACAGGCGGGGGTGGCGGCTGCTGCTGCCCCACCATGGCGGGCGCGGGAGGGGCCGGGGGGGCCGCCTTGGCACCTACCACCTCACGGACCTGCTGCTGCGGCACAGGGACGGCCGTGTCGAGGGCCGCAACATCCTTGGACACAACGGTGGCCGGGGGAGGCGCTGACACCATGGTCGTACCGCCGACCACACGAGGCGTCGCGTAGGCATTCGGAATCTGGAGAGACACGCACGGTGTGAGAGACAGACAGACAGACAGACAGACAGACCGATGGACAGCCGCCGTGCAGTCAGTGAATTAGTGAGTGAGTGAGTGAGTGAGTGAGTGGGTCCTTCCTCTACTGTCGTCTGTCTGTCTGTCTGTCTGTGTGTCTCCTTGGTTGGTGACTGACCACGCTGAGGTTGGGCGATGAAATATTGGCGGTGGTTGGGGCCTGCGTCTGCATGGGCGGCAGCGGAGACATGGCCGGCATGCTCGGAGCCATCTCCATCGCAGGCCTACACACACACGCACAGCCACACACACACAGGCAGGCAGACAATCAGACAGAGAAAGAGACATCAAGGCAGGGCATCCACACAAACGCTGCCAACGCCACCAGCTATTACAGCAGGCCTGCCTCATGCATCAGTCAGGGTGCCTCTCTCTGGCTGCCTCAGGCCTGGCTGCAGCCACCAGCCATACACACACGAGCGGGTGGTGTCATGTCAGTCAGGGGACCTTGCAGTGGCTGGTGCAGCGTATGTGCGTGTCTGGACGGTCATTTGGTTCATTTCTGGGTAGAGGGGCACGGCATGGACCTGCTGGACGGGGGCCGCCTTGCGAGCGCCGCAAGGGCTGCACCTGCTGCCCAGACAACCCGGCTGGTTCTGACTCTCCATCAGAGGATTCACGCCAGACACCTGCACACATACATACGATACACATGCGGGGGCCCCGATAGACAGACCGACACATGACAGACAGGCAGGCAGGCAGGCCCCACGTGTCAGTACGTCCCTTGAGGGGAGCAACGGCATGCATATGAGCTGTCTGCCCGTTACCTGAGCAGTAGCCATTGCGGGATGGTTTTGCACTCAACACCTTTTCCTCCTTCAACCAAGGCAGGCAGGCGGCGGCACAGACAACGGACAACTACAGCGCTGCGGCGCTTCAAAGTTCGCGGAGCCCCCAGCCCCCGCAGCTCGCAGTCTCAGCAGATCACCTCCCACAGCGATCTCCCGGATGCGTGTGGCGTTTGTTCATCCAGATCTGGGTTTAGGCGGTGCCGAGCAGCTGGTGGTGCATGCGGCATGCGGCCTGCAGAAGAAAGGCCACAGTGTGGTCATCTACACCGCCCACCATGATCCCAACCACTGCTTCACACCAACCAGAGATGGTAAGCAAAGCACCTCATGGATGGGATGGCTGTTAATTAGCTATAGCACACTGCACTGCACTGCCTCCAATGTGATGTGTGTATCTTTTTGTTACTTGTGTGTGCACACCACCACTGACAGGCACTCTGTTAGTGCAGGTATATGGCGACTGGCTGCCTCGCAGCGTGTTTGGCCGCTGTCATCTCCTCTGCACCATCGTTCGACTGGTCTATGTCGTCTTCAAAGTGGCACTTAGCGGTCGGTATGTACGTGCCTGTGCTGTGCACCGCCACAAGCAGAGGAATACACCGACTGACTGCCTTGGCTGTCTGGGCGGTGTGGTGTGGTGTGGTGTGTGTGGTGTGGTGTGGTGTGTGCACTGCAGGGCGTGTGTACGATGTCATTATCAACGATCAGCTCGCGGCTCTCAACCCATTGCTCAAGCGCATCACACAACGAGTCAGCCAGCCAGCCAGCCAGATACATGTGCAGAGACCAGGTTGCGAGGAACAACAGCCTGACTGTCGTGTGTGCGCGGTATGTGTCACAGGTGGTGTATTACTGTCATTTCCCCGACTTGCTTCTCTGCACTGACCGCTCCTCTCTCGTCAAGCGCTTGTACAGGTATGGAGGTAGGGAGGTGAGAACGCGAATGAGTGTTGTTTCCTCCCTCCCTCCCTCCATGTACGTCTGTGTGTACTGGCCTTCCTTTATGCCAGGTGGCCGCTTGACAGACTTGAAGAATGGAGCACGGGTAGGGAGGGAGGGAGGGAGAAAGTGCACCAGAGGCGAGGCGCCCACTGTGTTGGGTATCGTGTCAGGGTGTGCCGACGTCGTGCTGGCCAACTCGCAGTTCACCGTTGACGTCTTCCAACAAACATTTCCCTCACTAAGGTGGGTCGGGTCACGCACAGACAAAGCGCTGTTCTTGATGATGACTATGCGTCCGTCCATCCCTGAGTAAGTCGGTGTTGTGTGTGCAGTCGTTGGCTTCCTGTGGTGCTGTACCCACCAGTGGACCTGACCATTGTGGATGCCTTCCTGGCCCAAGCGGCACAGGGGAAGGAGGACAAACTTGAGGACATTCAGGGGTGGGCATACACACCCACACACTGCATACAGCAAGTACATTCCCTCATCAATCAGGTGTCCCTTCGACCAGCGGGCCACCTACTTCCTCTCCCTCAACCGCTATGAACGCAAGAAGAACATAGCCAGGGCCCTCGAGGCTTTCGCAATGCTCAAACAGCAGGTGGCTGACTCAAACCTGATGCACAGACACCTCTCTCTCAGGTCGGCAACATCACCGCAGCTGCTGTGTGTGTGCAGGGTGGCATAGGTGCGGAGCAGGCGCGTCTGGTGATAGCAGGTGGGTATGACATCCGTGTGGCCGAGAATCGCCAGTACGAGAAGGAGCTGCGGCGTCGGAGGGATGAGCTGGGTATTGCAGAGGACCAGGTCTGCTTCCTCAAGTCGGTCACCGACGGTGCCAGGTGGTCGCTGCTCTACCACGCCACCGCACTCATCTACACACCCACACAGGAACACTTCGGCATGGTCAGTCACTCACGCAGTGAGGCATCCATCCATCCATCCATTTATCCATCCATTTATCCAGCTACCTGCCTTTCTCATGTGTGGCTGTATGTGCCATATATGTACTCAAGGTGCCGTGTGAGGCCATGGCGGTTGGCACGGTGGTCATCGCGTCCAATTCGGGGGGGCCCAGGGAGACCGTCATCGACGGACAAACGGTATGTATGTATGTACAGACAGACAGGCAGGCAGACAGCCAGACATAAAACAAAGGGTGTCTCACAAGTGAGGGCATAGGAGCCACTGATGCATTCCATTGTCCTCTCTGCTGTCTGTCTGTCTGTCTGTCTGTTGGCAGGGCTTCTTGTGTGAGGATGATTCCAGTAGTTTCGCCACCGCCATGCAGAGGGTGCTGGACAGCAAAACGAGACAGCCACAAGTCTACCAGGGGTGGTGTCAGGCTGCCAAGAGCCGCGTGCGAGAGGCCTACAGCCTGGAAGCATTCGCAGACCAACTTGAAGACATTGTGGACACGCCAAGAAAGCAAGCCTGAAGTGAAATAATCGATGGCCATGCATCCATTCCATGGACGGCGCATGCCTGTACATATGTACAGGCAGTCTCTTGTGAGAGAGGGAGGGAGTGACTTCATCTATCTCCGTGATTCACACACACATAACACATACTTGAAGAGTACTGTGATGTGATGTGTCCTCGATGGATGGATGGATACACCCATCCATCCATCCATCATGCAAGTCACGCATGGACGCGGTCACTCACTCACTCACTCAGCCAGTCGCTCACTCCTACCTAGCCCACTCACTCCACAGAAATCACTCACGCGTCCGTGAATGGAATGCACCGATGCATCCGTCCATCCATCCGTCCACCAACATGCAGCCGCAGCATTACCACACACCGCGCCTGCATTCCCTCCCTCTCGAGGCTGCTTACATAGCTGACCAAGCACACACTTCTCCCCCCGCCGGTCGGTCCGCATCGACGACCTTTGTCTTGCTCCGTCCGCTCCGTTCCACTGATCTCTTCCTCTCTCATGCGAGGCCTTGGTTGATTCCCCTCGGTAGGTAGCAAGGTAGGCAGGTACTGTAGTACCCACTGAATCAAGGGTGGGCATTGCATTCACCACACCCATCAATCAATCCACCCCTCGGTCCAGCACTCGATCTCTCTCTCTATGGTCTGAAGGGTGCGGGTATGCGATGCGGCGGTGGCATGTTGGGGGCTGGGGGGCGGGGCAGCCACTGCAGCTGCTCGTGCAGCTGCTGAAGACGGTGGTCACGCTCACTCAACCTACACACACACACACGAGATGTGCTGGCGTCACTGGTAGGATGGTTCCTTCCTGCCTTGCTGCCTTGCTTGCTTACTGTTCGTGGTAGATGAGTTGCATCTGCTCGCACTGCTGCTGATGACGCACGTACGCATCCGATATCTCACGCTCGAAACTGACGACCGACGGACGGACGACGGATACAGACACACACAAACATTCGACCACACAAACAAACAGACAGACAGAGACAGACAGGCCTGAGACATACGTACGCAGACTGTCTTTCTCTCTCTCTCTCCGTGGATGTAATTTATGTAGACGGACCGGACCATCATCCGTCCATCCACCCACTCGCCCACCCTCGCACAGACACACCTTGCTGCCGCTGCGTCAGACCCATCATTGCTGGTCGGCGCTACCGGGGGTGGCTGCTGCGTTTGTTGGGACACACCGCTACCACCATTACCACCACCAGCTGCTGCAGCTGCCGCCGCTCCGCCCTCCCCTTGCCGTTGCTGCTGTTGTGGTCCTGCATTTGTTTGGCCGGCCTGAGCGGATGTCGTAGCCGATGACCTGGCGGTGGTAGTGTAGGTAGGCAGGTAGGGTACGCCACACATGAAGAAGGACAGCAAGGACAACAGCCACCATCATGATTGACCAAGGCAGGTGGGCAGGCAAGGCACCCTTGATGATGGATAATGGGATGGATGATAGATAATAAATACGCTCTGAATGGATGGCTTGCTGCGCTGCCTCGTCTCGCTCGCCTCGCCGCAATCAATGCACTCAGAGAGGGCAGTAGGAGATAGATTATTGAGTAGATAGAGAGCAGCCCAGCCCAGCCAGCCCGATGGATGGGTGGACGGGTGGCAACCAATATTACCAACCATACCTGCCTCCTGCCTCACCCGCCCACAGCAATCTGATGCCTCCCTTACTCGCTCGTCTATCCACCTCATTGATTCGCTGCCTCTGCCTGCCTGTCTGCCTGGTTGCCACTCCTCCCTCCCTCCCTCTCAGTGCACGACAATCATTACCCACCTGTTTTGGTTCTCCGCGGCCTGCAGCCGATCCTGCGTCTCCTTCAACTCGTCACTCAGCCTGACACACACGGACGGACACGCAGACGCACGCCGCACAAAAAAACATTGGCACTTTACTCCCTTGCAAGGCTGGCTGGGCTCGTCATCCCTCATCGATGGGATAGAAATCATCCTCACTTGGCGTGTTTCTGCGTTTCCAGATCGTGCTTGGCCAGCAGCCGCTTGCTGCAGGCAGGCAGGCAGGCACCATGACAAGAAGTGACGTACGTACGTCACATATGCGCGCCCCCTCCATAAGGTGGTGGTGTGGCAGGGCGTGCTTACTAGTCTAGCGTGCGTGCAGCAACGTCCTGTTGTGCAGTGGCGAGCTGTTGAGTCTTGTCGGCCAACTCCTGCTCGGTCTTGTCGAGACTCCTAGACAACCTCTGACCACGCCTACACACAGTAAGTCACACACGCCCACGCCCACAGATGTGTGTATGTGATGTGATGCAGATGCATCTCCTTGCTCCCTTCCTGGCTGGCCTGGCCTGGCTTACTCCCTCTCCTGCTCGAGGGCCTCAGTCAGCGACCGCAGCTTCTTCTCGTACTCGCCTACTGTCGCACGCTCATCACTCGCACTACTCGGTTCGTTAACAGACACACAGACAGACAGACAGACAGACGGGACACATACAGCTGTCGCTGAGTACACCTCCCTCCCTCCCTGTCTGTCTCTCTTGCTAGTTAGTTGTCTTGTCTCCCTTTCTCCCTTTCTCGCTCCCTGCCTACTTACCTTTGTTCCCTGAGTTGGTTGATGAGTGTGACCTTCCTCTCCAGCTCGTTCTGGAACCATGCACACTGCATGCAGGGGGCGTTGTCCTGCGACGCACCGCTCTCCGCACCCTCGCCACCGGTGCCACCAGGGGTGGGCGACCCAGATGGCGACAGCGACGGCAGGCCCGACTCCCCACGAGCTGGAGAGGCACCGCCCAGAGGTGGATTGATGCCAGGCAGGCTTGAGATAGGGGATGGCTCAGGGGTGGGCACACTCGACGCGGCGGGGGGCAAGGCCGGACGGCCACATCTGTCGACGAAATCAACCTCCGCTGCTACGGTGTGGCCTGCTGGCAAGGTCGGCTCGTGTCTGCCCCACAGCACCTCACGGACAGCCTTCTGCGCGTCGCCCTCCACGAACTCGTAGCCCTTGGATGCGATGGCGTCCTGATCGTACGTCATGCGCCGACACTCATGGTAGAGGAAACACCACAAACCGCCCGCCTTGACCAGAACCTCGCCATCCCTTGCTGACGCTGACGGTGACGGTGATGCCGACGATGCTGCAGCAGCGGCGGCAGCAGCAGGTGCCGCTGAGCCCTTGGGGATCATTAGAGGCACATCAGCACCCAGAGTGATGCGAAGCCGAACGTTTCGCTCGGGCTCGTCAATCAGCCAGGCTACCAGAGTGTCAGCACTGACAGGTGGAATTCCACCTGCACTCTCTGACGTGTCCATCTTGGCTTCTCCTCCTGCCGTTGCTGCTGCTACTGCTGCTGCTGCTGGCGGTGGTTGGGGTGACTCCTGCCAGGGTCGGCCCTCCTCATGCGCCGCCCGTGACTCGTACAGGTGGAAGGGCAGCTCGCCAAACGTCAAGAGCGGCAGGATGGCGTTGGGCCTCTGCTTCCCATTGAAGGGCACAGCGACAGCATCGCCGTCCGGCCCGGCTGCCCTCTTGATGGCGGGCCCGGCCTCCACCCCCCAGCCGCCCTTTGATCGCAGGGTCTGCAGGATGGAGCACCGGATGACCTCCACAGGGCTCAACGAGACGACGTGCCTCTCGGACGATCGGGCCGCCTCGGCAGCCGTGCTCTTGTCGTCCTCGATGATTGCTGGTGGACCCTTGAGCAGCGCCTTGAGTGCATCGCCCAGCACGGTAGGCAGCCCCAGCACTCTGCTGACGTCCATGTCCTGGTCACTCACATCTCGGTCATCCTGCTTCCGCTTGAGCGAGGCCTGGCCAGATCTGCTGTCGCCATCAGCCCCCCGATTCTGCTGCCCCGCCCCCGTCATATCGGCAGAGTCCTCCCTCCTCTCCCTGTCGTATGCCTTGGGCGTCTCCCGCCCGCCCTGCCCATCCTCCCTGCCTCTTCGGTCCGCCATGCCCCGACGCCCTGCGTCACCCACCATCACATCTCGGCCCGACTGGCCACCAGGACCGTCGCCCAGCGCCCGGCGCCTCCCTGTCGGGGGAGGAAGGGGCTCTTGCGGCTCGCGATCCCTTATCCTCGCCGACGAGGGGGGACCCGGGCCAGCGCCCTGTCGGTCCAGTCTGTCCCTGTCGTCCCTCACCATAACGCGGTCTCGGTCGTCTGGCGGGCCTCTGCTGCTATAGGCCCCACCAGACCGGCTCCTGTCGCCCAACCTCATGAGCTGCGGCCGGCTGCGGGGGTCCTCCCCTCGCCGCGGTGGGTCGTCGCCCCGGCGGCCGTCCCTGCGTGGGAGGGGTGGAGTCAGATGGGGCAGAGGCAGCTTGGGCCGTGAGCTACTCGCCACCAGGTCGCTTTCCCGGTCCGACCGGTCCCGATTACGGTCCCGGTCCCGTTCCAACCGGTCTCGGTCCGGTCGGTCCCGGGGAGTGGGGCCACCAGCGGCCGATGAGCCGTTGGTGAGCTGTTGGTGGGACCTCTTGTCGGTGTGTATCTCGGTGAATGTCCACTCGTCTCCTTTGATCTTGAGGATCTTGTCGCGGTGGTTGCGGGCGGCGACCTTGATGATGACCTGACTCTGGTCCACACCCAGCGCCTCGGCCGCCTCGCCATAGTCAGCAAACTCACGCAGCGCCCCCGTCGTCTCGTTGCGCGCCTCTATGTACCGCTTGCGGGCGTCCATCCCCACCTTGATGCCCGTCACCTCGCTCCTGCGACCCACCGACTTGACCTACAGCACGGGTGGATGGTTGTTTGTATGTTATGTGGCAGCCAGGGAGGGACGGACGACGGACGAAGGGAGGGGGGACAAACAAAGCAATTCACACAAGAACACAGAGAAACAAACAGTCGGTGAGCGGGAGAGGCTGGCAGCAAGGCCTGCAGGCAATCCGTCTATCCATCGGTGGTTTGTGTTTCCTACGTCGTGAGAGTAGGGGCATGATTCGCCTTCCCTGCAGAACCTGCAACACGTACACACAAACACACACACAGGGCAACAGTGGCTGGCTGATGTCAATCCAGCGGGTGAGTGGTGTGTGTCTGACCCGTTGAGGAAGAAGCGGCAGATTCGTTTGTCACTCATCTGTCAGGAACTGCCCGCGGTTTTCTGACCCGTTCTTATGCGCGCCTCCGCCGCCTCATGTTGTCCTCGCTGTCCTCGATTTCGGAGGCAGCGCGAGTGACGAGGGAGAGAGCGGTTTCACGATTTGACGCAATTTGCGAGCTTCATTGTGAAATGCAAAAAACCGGGGCACCGCGGTGATAGATGGATGAGGGGACGCGCCCTGAGAAGAAACGGCGGTTGCGCGTTGACTGCATCACGGTGACCAACGAGCTGCAAATCTCATACGTGTGAGGCCGCCAGCCAACGAAGATGCATACAGATCACATCACATGTATGCTTGAGGAATGAATGGTTGCCTGTGTGCCGCGTGTATGCCATGGCCTGGTCTATTGATCAGATGGGAGATCAAGAACTTTTCCCTTCTCCGCGCCCGGGCGACTGCCGAGCAAGTCGGGGAGGACGACAGGTAGGTAGGTAGGGAGCTGGGCGGGCAGGCAGGCAGGCATCACACGACAACACACGACCGGCAGATTCATCCCTGCTCGTGGAATTGTCTTTTGTGGCGTGTTCGGCTGGCTGAGCTGAGCAGGTTGTTTAGTCCCACGTTCCCCACGGAGCCGGCAGGCGGGGACGGCAGTAGTGATGGCGATGGCAACGAGATCAGCACCACACCGCCGGCCGCCGCCGCCGCCGCGGCTGCAGCAGGGGCGGCCGGCAGTGGGTCGACCACGGAGCTGGTGCCCTCACGCGGCCACATGGCGGGCAACGGGGGTGAAGATGGCAATGAGAGTATGGGCGGGGCGGACGCGACAATAGCGGCGAGGGAGGATGTGGGCAAGTGGTCCATCTGCGTCTGGCCCAGTGGCGAGGGCGGTCAGTCAGCCCTGTTCACACACCACATACACCAGTCAAGCCAACGCCGAGAGAGAGAGACAGCCGGCAGCAAGATCGATTGTCGTGCGTGTCAATCCATGCATCCCTCCCTCCCTCCACTGGGTGGCGTTGGCGTTGCAGGTAGTGAGAACCAGGGTTGCGTGTCGGTGTTTGCCCACCTCATGACCCACAGCGATGTCGTCGCCAAGTGCGCATTTGTGTGCCTCGACCCACAACACAACGAAAGTACTTAAGTCACTGCGCTGGGGGGTTCAGTCAGTCAGTGAGTGAGGCAGCACACCACACCACACCACAAACAAACCAACCAACCAGTAAACTACACACGTGCTGGTTTGCGTGTTGCGTTGTGTTGTGTTGTGTTGCCTGCAGTAAGTGAGACCCGCATGCAGACGCGTTTGAGGAAGTTCTCCCACAACGAGGGCAAAGAGTCCAATCGCGGATTCTCACAGTTCCTCACAGGTAGGTACCTACCTGCCCGCCGACGGGCCATCGAGCTGAGACCAACCAGCCAGGCAGCCTCTGAAGTGTTGTTTGTGCATTGCATGGGATGGATGGATGTATGGCTGCAGCTGATCAGTGGAATGAGTACATTTTGGAGGACACCTTTCGCCTCAAGTGCGAGATAGCCGTCATACCAGGTAAGGCAGGCCACTCAGAAACGCGACATTCCATACCAATCGGCCCAGCCGGCCACGTTTATGATTATAATGTCCTAACTCCCACCTCCCTCCCTCCCATCCGACTGACTTGGGTACACGTGTAGATTGCGAGCACGAGCCCACTGCCGAGCCACCCGCACCCAAAGCCAATCCAGAGACCATCAGCCAAGACTTGAGGTCCGCCACGCCACATACATACACACCAAGGCACGATGATGGAGCCTATCGTCCGGCCAGCTGTAGTTGTGTTGGTTGTGTGATGTGTGCCTGTGTGGTTTATGTCTGTCTGTATGGCTACAGGTGGCTGGTGCCTCGCGAGAGCGAGTCCTCCATGGCATCCTACAGTGACATCACACTCGTGACCGAAGGACACCAATTCAGAGCACATAAATGCATACTCGCAGCCAGATCCACGGTAGGTCGGCAGGGGAGGCAGGGAGGCAGTGACATTTGCACACCACACACGCCCCTCACATCAATCACACTGTCCCCCTCCCTGCTCACGTGCACCCATCAACCCGTAGGTGCAATGCAATCATGGTTGTGTTGTTGCGTGTTGTGTGCTGGCGTCTGTCTGTCTGTCTGTCTGTCCGTGTGTGCACTGCAGGTGTTTGCTGCAATGTTTGGTGGTCGCTTTGAGGAGTCGTCGATGGGCACGGTGCACCTCTGGGACACACCGGAGACCATCCAGTCGCTCCTCAAATACATATACACAGAAAGGTAAGGAATGAACTCGGTGGTGGTGTGGGACAGATGGGCCGGGCCAGCCAACAGGCAATCGCCCACCCACCCATCCATCCTCCGCCTGTACGCACGGGTGGATGCCTGTGTGTCCGCCTGGCTGTAGTTGTGATGAGGTCACCCAGCAGCCGCTGCCCTTCGACTCCGTCCTGGCGCTCTTCCAAGCTGCGGACAAGTCAGTGATGGGATACACACAGACACAGATCCAACCAAGGGAGGACCGGTGTATACCGTCGATGCCGAGTGTGTGTGTGTCTGTGCAGGTATGCGTTGCAGGGTCTGAAGCTCAAGTGTGCGTCGGTGTTGGAGCGCAACATGCGGCCAGACTCGGTCGTGCGGGTGCTCATCGAGGCAGATAGGTAGGCAGGTACGTGGGTGGATGGAACCAAACCCTTTCCTTGCGTGTGTGCGAGCGTCTGTCGCCTCAATATATATTCGATTGTTTGGTAACTGTGTAGGCACAATGAGCCGAGGCTCAAGGAATCGGCGGCTCGTTTCATTTGCGGCAAGTACGGTGAGGTGAGCGGCACTGAGGACTGGCGTCGGCTGGACCGGCACCCCAGCATCCTCAAGCACCTCCTGGAGTGCTTTGCACAGCCTAGCACCCTCTTAGTGGGGGGCTCGGTGGAGACCAGGGACGGATAGAACAAACAGATCACCGGGGGGGATAGCCAGCCAATAGACACGCCACGCCCACAGACAGCCACAGACCGATTGACTGACTGACTGACTGATCAACCCATCCTGGGCCATCCTCTGAGTCCTCCCACCGACACACAGAGAGAGAGAGAGGCTAGGCTGTGACGTGATGTGGTGGAATGCCCCACTCTGTGCCCTCACCGGCAGCTGCTCGGGTGAGACGGGCGGCCCTGACGAGAGGCGCGGCGGTGTCGGCGGAGGAGATGGCGGGAGGGATGATGCCGACAGGCACGTGAACGGCGGAGGGAAGGGGCCGATATATATGTTGAATACGGGGGCCGGCGGCAAGAGCATGAAGGTGGGCATTGGAAGGGGGGAAGGAAGAAATGGCGGAGCCACGGGGGGTGGGGAGGGCTGCGCCGGTGGTGCGCTGCTTTAGCGCTGGTCGACTGCCCTCTTCCCTCGAATTTACAAGAATTTACAGAGTGGCAGCGAAGCGCGGGCACCATGGCGAGCAAAGCAGTGCTCATATGCTCGGGTTGCTGTGTGTTATGCATCGTTATAACAATTGCCACGCTCATTGGCGTATCCTTTTCAACGCTGGGTCAGACCGAGATGGGCCTGCGGTATGACGGGGTGAGCGTCAAGATCAACGAGGACAAGCTGTGGATGAATGGCAGGCACATGATAGGACCCGGACACAGATTCATCAAGTCAGTGAGGGAACACGGCCGTGACGGACCCACCATATGAATGGCTATGGGTGGTGGGGTGGCTGCAATGCCTGGTGCACTGAGTGAGTTCAGGTTCCCGAAGGAGCAGCGGACAGTGAGCCTGACCGGCAAAAACCATCTGCCCTGCCGCACCAAGGACGGTCTGCGCGTTGTCCTGGGCATCACTTACCAATACCAGTACTTGCACAGGAAGGACGGAAGCAAGGAACAAACAGAACAACGTGCATGCGAATGCATGCTGTTCAATCTGCCTGCCTGCCTGTAGGCTGAAAGATGTCCTACCGGAGGTACTCGCCCTCTACTATGACTTTGGGGAGAACTACGAGGGTATGCAACACAACTAGCTAACACGTCCGCTCCGCACTGTCGCGACCATGCCATCCATCCATCCATCCAGACTTCCATTGATGCATCCATTGCATCCTATCATCCATGATGGTGGCGTGGCGTGGCGTGGCATGGCAGGTATCTACGCCAGGGTGTCCCGGGACGTGTTGCGTGACGTGGCCTCACAGTATGACGCCTACGACATCTTCCTCAATCGCACCTTCGTCCAGCAGGAGATGACGCGGCAGCTGGGGGCCAGTCTGGACAAGCACCACGCCCGGGTCAACCAGCTGCAGCTCCTCAGCGTCACGCTGCCCGAGAAATTCGACGCCGCACTCGACGAGACAGAGCAGGTACTTACTGTATGTATGTATCACCAGCCAGCAGTCTGGATCAAAGGACACACCTTCTTTCTCGGCTTGGCCGCTTTTCTTTGTACTGCCTGGCCTGGTCGGTCGACATTACAATCAAAGGCTCGACTGCTCGCTATTCAAGCGGATTTCGACAAGTGAGAGTGACCCTGTGCAAGGGCAAGGAGGCAGGGAGCCAGGGAGGGAGGGAGGGAGGGAGGGAAGATAGACAGACACACAGACGTGTCCATGTATGTATGTATGTGTGTATGGGTGCAGGAAGGATGCGCAGCAGGCAGCCGAGAACACCAGGAACAGGGCCGACGAGGACGCCAGGACGGAGCTCAACAAGAAGGAGGGACAGGTCAATGCCATCGAGCAGTCCCTCGCCACGGAACGCAACGTATTCGTCTCGCAGATCTCGGCAGAAATTACGAGCTACACCACACTCAAAGACAACGTACGTACGTATACAGAGGCGGCAGCATCAATGCGTGTCTCTTGCGTGCATGGGCCAAGGAGGAGGGAAGCTGACTGGCTGTGAAATGTGGGGTCTGGTCTGGTTGTGTGTCTTCATTCAGGTGGATTTGACGTCAAGAGGGCTCATGACGTACATATGGTTGCAGGTAGGGTGGGGTGGGGTGTAATGATTGATTGATTGATCCACACACACACGGCACACACATATCCATGCATCGACGTCTTCGCCATGTGAAAAAGACACTGCCTTCTGCCCCTCTCTCTGTGCTGTCTGTGCTGTGCTGTGTGCGTTTGGTGTGTGTGTGCAGAACTTGGGGACCACAGAGGGCAGCACTGTCATATTCAACAGCAAGCCCCCCGACCTGGCCTGCTACAACGCACCAGACAGACCGTGGTGCAACGTGACGACCGCATAAACACACCCACACACGCGCAGCCATCCGTGTCATACAGCTGTCCGTGAGGTGTCTGTGGACTGACTGACTGACTTGTTTCAATCAACCGAGGTCGCAAACCCTTCTTAAAAAAGCCACTCACTAGTGTGTCTGACACACACGCACGGCACGGCACGGCACGGCACGGACAGCGGGCAAAAATACCAAGTTGGATCAGTGAGTGCTCTGACTGACTGACTGCCTTTTCAGACAGTCAGTGCTGGCCTGCGTTAACATACACACACACCCGGGGGATAAATAGGATACACATGGATGGCATTGACTTGACGGACGGTAGGTACATACACACTTAACGTTCAGCGATGCGATAGACACACGCATGGCATGGCATCGGGTGGGGTGTGGTGTTTCGGTGGAACGAAAGGCCGGCGGCGAGCAGTCAGCCGAGCCGGCAATGAAAAAGTTTCGTTCTTGGCCATTCATTCCTGCGTGCACTGACTGCACTGGAGTCTCCTCCCTTCCTTCCCCGGCCAGCCATCGGATGGAACACCACTGAGGACGGCTGGGAAAGGGATGGATATCCAATGCAATGCATGCGTGGCAAGAGCGGACGAATGGGAGGTAGTTAGTTGAGTACATACATAACATACATACATACGCCTCCGTGGCAGGCAGACCAGGAGGAAAAATCGGATACACACACACACACACACACACACACAGGGGTATATGTGTCTGTCATACACACGACACGACCCTCCCTCCTGCCACACACAGGCCTACCTAGCTAGACACATGCTAGGCCGGCCGGCGGTGCCTGTTGCGCTTCCCCCCGAATACTGCATAGAGAGACACGTGCAGTTAGTGCATAGCATACGTGTACGAAACATATGGACGCACCAAGCAGAGCAGCATGCAATGGATGAGGGAGGGGGATAGATGTGAATGGATAGATGGACGGATGGACGGAAGGAAGACAGACAGACAGACAGACGGACAGACAGAGGGCCAGCGCATGTGGTACATACATACAGAGGGCAGTGGGGTGAATGAATGCATTTCTGTCCATGAAACCGCGACACGACACACCTCTCTCTCCTTTGTACAGACATACAGACAGATAGACAGACAGACAGACAGACAGACAGAGTGCCATTCATCCATTCATTCCAGCATGTACATACAGACTGCAGCCAGTACCTCTCCCCTCCTCTCCCATGGCCCCGCCCCCCTCTGCCGCATTGTCTGTCGTGTCTACAGCCATATGTCTGACGTGCAGTCGCCACCAGGATACCGCACCTCGTGTGCTAACGCAGGACCGAACGGTTCGGCACCTGCAATGCACACACACACACACGCACACACGTATTAAATGCACATCTGTCTATCTTCATCCTGTGGACGATTGAGCTCGCGTGTGTATACCTACCGAAGTCGACGAGGAAGTTCTGGTTGATGGTGAGGCCGCCCTTGTCGTTGTCGACGTCAACTTGCAGCATCACTGACCCTGAAGACAGCACGGAGAGACACACCACACCCGGAGACACCCCACCCGGTGAGGCCGGCAGGCCGTATGTACGTGTGTATGTCTGTTATGGTTCGCCACTGACTGACCTTTGTCGACCATGTCGGGATAGAACTGTTTGTCCCACACGCTGAACAGACTGGTCGTCACGTACAGACGCTTCCCATCTGCAAACCACACGAGCGCACACACATCGAATATATTCAATGCATGTGAACGATAAAATGAATGAGTGACCCCAGGCAGTACAGGCAGTCTGTTTCTCTCTCGCTCACCGAGCGACAGTTGTATCATCTGCGGCCCTCCGTAGATCCTCTTGCCTTTGACGTACAGCGGCTCCGGCTGGCTGTCCAGCTCGGGGTCCTCGGTGACGGCAACGGCCCCGCCCTTGACGATGCTGCCCGAGATGAACACCTGGCCCACCAGCCTGGGGCTGCTGATGTCCGTGATGTCGTACTGCCGGATGTCACCGTGCAGCCAGTTGGACACGTAGAAGAACCTGTCGTCAAGACTGCCCACGCCATACACAACACACAGCACATGACACGTCAGACGATGGAGCTCATGGCTCTTGTGTGTTGTGATGGATGGGTTTGTGGACCTCCCCTCCCTACCTGATGAGGCAGTCAGTCATGAGTGAAGGCATCTCCGGAAGGGCCCAGCCGTCCACCTTTTTGCTAGGGACGTCGATCACCTTGTCAGCCACCCATTTGCCCTCCGCCGACTTGTGCACCCTGACCAAGTCACACCACACCAACCGACACAGCCCATCACACTAGCTAGCATCAATGCAGCTCGCTAACTTGGTCAGTCAGTCACCTGAAGACGTTGGAGGACAGTGCTGCGACGAAGAGGCACTCGGTGCTGGCGGGGTCGTGCAGGAAGCGGATCTCCAGGGGGATCATGCCCTCAGCACCCAACTCGATCGACGCAACCAGCCTGACACACACACGGACAGGCAGACAGACAAACGATGCATTCATTAAGTGGTCCGTCCGCGTCGTGGGCGTGTTCACCGTGGCGTTTAGGGAGTACCTACCTTTTGTTGGTCCAGTCCCATATGTGGATGGAGCTGCCGTAGAGGCCCTTCTCACAGTCGGCGGGGTCGAAGCCCTTCAGGAACGCATTCGGGGAACCTGGTGGGTGGATGGATGGATGCGATCGATGCACAGCACACATACGGAAGGATCGATCAGTGAATGAATGCCTCTTGTCGTCACCGAGGACAGCACTCAGTGTACGTGAATACTGTGTACTGTACCCCATTCAGTGGAGATCATCACATTGTGCCTCGGTTGGTACCTTCACACACACAGCACATGCACACACACACAACACATGCACTGCACCCATACGCCTGGCTGGCCCATTCCTTCCTCCATCGATTGGTTGGTGACTGACCAGAAGTCATATCCAAAGGAGGAGGTGTCTTTGGACCAGGTGCCCTTGAGATCGAACGTCTCGCCGTCAAGGAGGATGAACCCTGAGGGACAGACAGACAAGACAGATGTATGTGACGCGTAGGTGAATGGACACATGGTCGATTGATTCTCGGGCATCGCATCGTCGTACCTCCCTTAGCGTTGTGGTCCACGTCGCCCATGACGGAGATCATGACCTCGCCGCTACCCAGGCAGTGAGTCGTGTGGGGGTTGCGGTGGCCGACCTTCTTGGCTATCTCCTGCAGCCAACACACACCCAGGTAGGCAGGGCAGGCCGTACAACACACACACACACACACACACAAACGACCGTCATAAATGACGCTTGCGCATGCTTGTGTCGACCATTGTTGCCGGTTTTGCCGGGCCATGCCCATGCACGCACCTCGCCTGAGACGATTTTATGTATTTTGGGGTCCCTCTCGTTGGTGGTGTCGACAATGATGATATTGCCCGAGCCCAGGGCTGGGAGGATCAGCCTGTTGCGCTTCTTGCTGCTGTCCCCGTGGCACGACGAGCATGCGTTCCAGCCCGAGTGATGCAGCTCATCGCCCACCTCGGGCATCACCACACGGGATATCACCTGCACAGACAGACAGACAGACAGACAGACATGCACACACAATACACAGCACACAGCTGCCTAGAGCTGTGTGAGAGGCAGCCCTGTACAGTACCGACCTGTGAGTATGTGTGTGAGTTGGGGTCTACGTCGACGGTGGCGAGGTAGTCGGGTTTGCCTTGCTGCTTCATGATGCAGGTCACGTACACTATCGACTCACGCGGTCCCTGGCGCATGGCCTCCAGGGGGCTGGCGTACCCTGGGCCGCCGTGGCAGCAACCATTGGTCGTCCCGTTGGCCGTGCCGTTCATGGTAGGTGCGCAAGAGAGAGATGCCGTGGCAGCAGACGAAGATGCAGGAGCCCTTCTTGCGTGGGTTGACTCTGAGTGCCTGGGCCGTCCAAAGCACGGCAAAACCCCAGGGATCGGCTCTTTGCGAGCTTAAAATGGCGAGCTCAGAAACGTGAGTAAGCAAAAAGGTGCGGATTCTGCCGCGTTGTCGTGTTGAAATAGCAGCTGAGGTGATAGAGAGAAGAGTCCATCTACAGCGGCTGCAGCCACAACCGCTGTCGGCTGATCCATACATACATCATGAGCGGCGGTACGGTTCGTGACATCCTGGGTGTGCGTCAGAACTTCAAGAAGCTGGTGCCTGGCGGCGATGCGGGCGGCGGCAAGAGGGAGGCCAAGAACAAGCGGCCGGAGGGCATGAAGAGGGAGGTCTACCAGCTATGTGGAGATGGACTGCCCTCTCTCGCACAAACCGTCACCTCACCACACAAAGTAAGTATGTTAGTATGCTCCTGCATTGCATGGGTGGGTGGGTGTACCAGCAGACACTTACCACACACACGTGACGGTATGGATGCGATGCATCTTCCTCTGTGTGTGTGTGTGTGGTCAGGACAAGAGTCGCTTGAAGCATGCGGTGAGTGCGTGGACGTTGGCTCCCTTTCGGAATGCCAACCGGGACGACGGCCTTGAGTTGTGCCACTGGCGCAAGAAGGACAGCCCCGGTGAGGACAGCTACAGCAAGAAGAGGGCGCCACTCAAGGTCTACACATACACCGAACAACAGTGGAAAGACCACATCGAGGTAGGTACCTCATCCATGGAGGAACCACCAACATAGTGCCCCCCCCCATGCACCCACCCTGTCTCCCCGTTGGTGCGTGTGTCTGTGTGCTGTGTTCATTCATCTGATCAGAAGCTGGACAAGAACTGGACAAAGGCCGAGACGGACTACCTGATGCACCTGTGTGTGCTCTATGAGCTGCGGTTCATCGTCATCGCCGACCGCTTCCTCTCGCAGGCCGAGGTCACACCCGAGAGGCTGCCCGTCCGCAAGAAGACCATCGAGGACATCAAGAAGAGATACTACTCCATCGCACGCAAGCTGGTCGAGGTCGAGTACGACGGGCGGCGGGACCAGCTGCACAGGCTGCCGCCCGCTGAGAGGGCCGCCGCAGAGAAGAAGCTCGACGCTGAACTCAGGAACCACCCCATCATCAAATGCAGATACGAGTGAGCCATTCAGGGTGCCAGAAAGGGCTGGTCGGCTGCTTACACGTATGGTATGCGTGTGCTTGGTTCGCCGTGTGTGTGATTGGGTAGCCCGTCTCATGATTGGGAGCGTCGGATGCTGCTGGGTAAGCGGTTCAAGGCCGACGACAAGGTCAAGTCGGATGAGAAGAACCTCGTCGACCAAATCAAAGCACTCGAGAAGGTCAGACAGACCAGACGGAGAGGGCTGCTTTGCTTCCCCACATCACTAACACGCATGGGGCGTGTGGTGTGCAGCAAATCAAGACCGAGGAGAACAGACAGAAACAGGTGGGCTCTGCTGCAGACACACAATCCCACGTCATATACATATCTCATATCGTCAGAACATCCTCACTTCATTCCCTCTGTGTGTTGTCTGTCATGTCTGTCTATCTGTGTGGATCAGAGTCAGGCGGCGGATCAGAAGAAGAAGCGCAAGCAGCAGCCAGAGGAGGAGGAAGACGACACACAAATACAAGTATCGTACACACACAGAAATGCCACCAGCCACGGAGGCATCGCAATTCAACCACCCCCCGCCCCCCTTTGTTCTGATACATGCCGCCCCACCCCCACTGACTGTGCAGGTTGGTCCTTTGCCGCCGTGGAAGCGTCCCGGTGTGTATTCGGCGTCCCAGGCCCTGCAGGCCGTCCAGCTGCCACCCAAGCAGGAAAACAAGGTGCAGACCGTACTCGACGACATCGGCTTCAAGGACTTCGGAGTCACCAAGAGCAGCGTCGCTCTGCCACGGATGGCCACACAGCAAACCGTGCAGGCATTCAGGTCAGCTAAGCTTTATGGGCGGGTGGGTGGGTGGGTGCTGCCAGTGACGATTCATTGATGGAGGTGGGTGGTGTGTGTGTGTGTGTGTGTGTCAGTGCGTTGCGTGCCGATGCAGCCACGATGCTCAACCTGGCGCGACACCTCGACCAGAGAAAGAAGGTCAGTACCAATCCTGGCCATAGCAACGTCCATTCTCTATCTCTGTCCGTCTGTATGTATTGCCTTCAGGAGCGAGAGATGACTGTGGCCCAGTTGCAGCAGATGGAGGCTGCAGTGCAGCAGCAGCAGCACATGGGTGCCATGGGCGGGGCACAGGGGGCACCCGGCGTCTACCCATCCGGCATACCAATGGCCGCCGGCGGACCACCACCGAACGTCAAGAAGGAGAAGCACAAGGCCAAGAAGGAACGCAATGAACCGCCCAGTGGGTTCTGACACACATACACACACATACATATGTATATGTGAAGTGGCAGCCAGGCAGGTGAGGTGTCCGTCGTGGATGTCAATGGTGTGATTGATGTGTGGTGTAGGCGTGCCGTCGATGGGGAGTGCCCCGGGCGCCATCAAGACTGAGAAACAGCACAAGTAAGGGCCGACAGACAGACGGACAGAGGTGTGCGCGTGTGTCTTGTGTGTGTGGTGTGCACAGGTCTCAGAAGCGGAAGCATGGCGAGGGGCATGGCGGGGCACACAAGAAGAAAAAGGTCTAGCTGGTGCAGTGGGTGGGGTGAATGGATGGATGCGTGGGGCAGTGATGCCGTCTGACAGATGATGCGATGCATGTCATGTATTGATAAATGGATGGGTATGCATACGACGGGGGAATATATGCCTGCCGGTGAGTGCCTGTATGACATGACATGCACGTCAACACGCATCCATCGTCACTGGCTGGGACTGAGTGTTGAGATGAGAGCTCTGGAACAGCCAAGCTTGCCTTCCATCCCCGCACTCTCTTTCAGATACTCAAGCCACAGACACACGTCGTCACTCAAAACACAGCGGCTTTGTTCGACCCTCTCGCATCAGTCAGTCATTCAACCGCACACCGCACTACCCCACACTGACTGACGCTCACGTGCTGACACAGACGTCCATGCATTCCTCAAGTGTCACTCTCTACCCTGTCTGGCTTCCCCCTGTCCCCACCCCTTGCCGCCTCTCGCTGCTGCTGCCGGTGCCGCTGCTAGAGGGTGATGCGTTGAGCTCAAGTGTAGGTGGGGGGAATGTGGGCCGGTTGGCCAGTTCTTCTCTCCGCCGCCGCCTTAGTTCCTCCAGCCGTGATTTCTGGCGACCAAACTCGTCCTCCATCAGCTGAATGGCCTGAGTGAGTGAGAGACGGATGCATCGAAAGAAAGATCCATGGGACGCCACACACAGACGCGTATGTTATGTATGTCTTTGTGCTTCTCACCTTGGCTTTGGTCTCCTCCAGCTGGGATAGTGCGTCCAGGAGCTCATCCTCGGGCCATATGTCAGCACCGTGCGGCTGGCCGCCACCGCCAGAAGAAGAGGAAGGAGACCCAACCGCCACAGACACAGGTGACCCTTCATCACCCCTCCCACCTTCTGCTGATGCAGTGACCGTCTTTGTCCTGTTGAGGGCCTCATCCACAGCCCTCTGTGCGGCCTCCCGATCCAGCACCTTCTGGTTCCAGTCATTCACGTCAAGCTGAGACCGACCGGGGGCCGCTGCCGCTGCCGCTGCTGACGCCACAGGGGCAGACAGGCTGCTGAGTGGAGCTGACGTGTCGTTGGGTGCCGACAGCTGCGATGGGTAGAGGGGGTCGGCAAAGTCAAAGTCCTCTGGCATGTCCAGCATCTCCATCTTGCGCCGCCGCCTCTCTATCTTGCGCTTCCTCTCCTCCTCGACCTCTAACGAGGTCTCTAGCGACCGTGTGAACTGCGTGGTGGCCTCGGTGGCGATGCCCCGCAGCTGGTTGACCACATCGCCCACCGACTGCGCCAGCCGAATGGCGTCCTTCGGACCCAGCAGAAATGACGCGGCGATGACCAGCACTATCACCTCCTGGCTACCCAAGTTGAAAGGCAGCTCCATCCTCAGCGCCGTGCTGCGGCCTCGTGACGGGGACGGCCGGCGGCGGTCGACAGCGATGCGGCGGGACTGCAGGCCGGCGAAGGATGAGTCACGCTGCGACAGGGAGGGGTGCAGAGGAGCCAGCGGGACGAATGCTTCACAGGACAAGGCGAACACCACGGGGAGGGCCAACAGCGTCAACATGATGCTAATCTTCCAGTCCTCAACTCAGCAGAGCCATAGGGTCACACAGCCACCTGCTCAGAACGCGGCAAAGACTCAGAAAAGCTGATGATCTTCAACAGAATTCCGTGAAACCGCTCAAACAGGGCGATCCCTCGCCTCTTTCAGTTTTTTCCTTCGCTTTTCGGGGGCTACCCGTGGTCTGGACGTCGTGCGGTGCCTCGGAGTGCCGGTATTGCCTTTCATCCATGGCAAGTGGCGGGAAGATGCCGGACGTGATCTTGCCAAAGGAGGGGCTCCTGTACTCCGAGAAGAGCAGCCTGTCGGAGGTACCAAACGACACTCCAAGAAAGAAGGCCGACAGCATCAGCACCGGAAGTGCCAATGGTTTTTCTCTTCTGTGTGGGATGTGGTACGGCTGTGTGGCGTGTGGTGTTGCAGGTGTTGTGCAAGCCCAAGTGGCTGCCCATCAAGAGTGTGACGCTGGCCAAGATAGAGCTCATGGAGAAGCAGCTGGCGGCCACCATGCAGCAGCACCAGCAGGCGGAGCAAGCCTCGACACATGGGGGAAACGGGCACAGATAGCCTGAGGCTTGCATTGCAAGGAAAGGGCTTCCTTTTGTATATGTGTGAGCATGTATACGACTGACCGGCCGTGTGAATCGCTGCCTGGCTGGCTTCCTCCATGCATCATGCGCCTTGACTGGTCATTGACGTCTAACAAATATGCATTTGCGTACGCATTGTGTCGCGTCGTGTCCCACCAACGCACCTCATGCTTCGTTCGCAGACTAACAAGTTAACACATACACACCTCACACCCCCCCCTCATCCGTCACCCACCATAAAGCGCACTCACAGACAACCAGACAGTCAGGGGGGCATTGTCTCATTAAAAGCTCCTTTCAGCTTCTCTATGTGGGCCCTACCTTCCATCCATCCATCCACCATATGCACACCCTCCCTCCCTCTCTCCCTGCCCTCTCTTCCTTTCTGCGTCATATTGGTGTGTGGTGGCGTATCCACCTGTTGAATCGTATCTGTGCCAGCTTGAGTGCGGGCCCCGTTTTCCGCCTCACACGCGTCCATGCCTTGCCGCCACTGTCGCCCAGGTCGGCCGGCCCCTCCTCCTCAGCCGCCCAGCTCTCCAACACATAACGATAATTCTCCTCGGCACGACCCAAATCCCTGACACCAGCCGCACACACATAGAGGGGAAATGAGATGACGCATGTATGTGTGTGTTTGTGCCCTCACTTGTCGATGTAGGGTGCTGCTTTGCCGTTGGCGTGGAGCTCAGCCAGCGACAGGACAGAACTACCAGATGAGGCAAGGAAGGAGAGGAGCACACACACCAATATTGATCACATGAGCGACTGCCTGCCGTGTGCCGTCTTGTATGCATGCATCATGCGTACCTGAGGCTGCCGTGTTGTGCGGCCGTCTTTAGTTGTCGTGCGCCCATCTGGAGGTCCTTGTCGACATCCCCCCGGCCAGACAGCCTCAGCATCGCCCCCTCGTGCAAAGACGCAACATTGCCCTGACTCACCGCACGATGGTGCAACCTGATGACGTAACGATGCAGAGAAACAGACACACAGGTCAAAGAGAGTGGAGGATGTGTGTGGTTGTGAGTGGTGACCTGACGGCCTTTGATGCGCAGTGTTTGCCTTTGCATCCCTTGTGTGTGCGGTACAGCTCAGCGGCGTTGGTTTGGGCGACCTCATAGCCCTGCTCGGCCGCCAGCGCATAGGTGAGGAGTGCCCCCTCATAGTCGCCCTCGACATAGTACTGCAGACCCCGCCTCACGTCATTGACACCATTGCCCGTCTCGGCCACCATCTTGTATGCCTGACACATACACATACACGCATGATCAGTGAATACATAGACGAACGTGTGTGTTGCGGCCGAGTGTGGTGACTTACCAGGACAGCTCTGTTGCAGTTGGGTGGGGTGCCGAACCCCTGCTCGTACAGCTGTCCCTCCCGCCACATTGCAGACACGGAGCCGTAGTCGGCCGACCGCTCGTAGTACCGCAGCGCACGCTGCATCCTCTCCTGACACACACATACACACACCACATAGACACACAACAAGAGCCAGACAGACTGTGTGAATGGGTAGATACTTATATACGTGCGTGTGTATGCGCGTCCGTACGTGGCTTCTGTTTGCGCTGAACAGCCTCTGTTCTTCTCTGTCGTGGATGCCCGCCTCCAGCTCACCCAAATAAAAGAACGCCTCGGCGTTGTCCTGAGCAAAGAAACAAACATCCAACCATCCATCCATACGTATGTCTAAGACACACATGCATTCACACACATGAGAGGTACCTGTAGGGCTGCTTTGACGAAGTATTCCTTCGCCAGTGCGACGTTGCGCGGTTTCAGCAGCGTCAGGTGGATAGTGCCTAGCGCTGCCTGCGCTGTCGGGTCACCCAGCTCGGCTGCCTGCATACATACAGACATATATTGCCTGCGTGTGTGGGTGCTGCTGTGTGGCTGTCTGTCTGTCAGTCCGTCTGGCTGACCTTTTCGAAGCACTCGACGGCCTTCTCGACGGCCTTTGTGATGTTTGTTTCGCCAGCGGCCCCCTGTATGTACATGTAGCCGAGGTCCGTCAGTGCCTGCGGGTAGTTCTGCTCGGCGGCCTGCTGGTAGAGCTCCAGGGACTTGGGCGGGACCCGCCTGCGCCTGTCCATGTTGGCGGCGGCGCTCTCGTCCTCGTGCAGCTTGGCCAGCTCGTACTGGGCCATGGGGTCGCCGCCCTTGGCCTGATGCTCCCAATACTGAAGCACCTCATACTGATACCAACCAACACACACGCACAGAGAGAAAGAGAGAGCTATGACGATGTCTTCTGTGTGTGTGTTCGGCCTCACTTGTTGTGCGGCGAGCTGCTGTTGTTTGTTGTAGAGCTGCAGGGTCTGGTCGGTCAGCCTGTCTGCGTCCCCGAGTGGCGGGTTGCCCAGCGCATCCTCCTGAAGAGCTATCTGGGCCGCATGCTGACACACAACACACAATGCATGCATCCCCTCTCTCCCTTTGTTCGTTCGCTTCGTGCGTCACTTGCCTTATAGTATCTGAGTGCGGTTTCGCATTTCTTGGGGACGCCGTGTCCGTAGTACCAGCGGAAACCCATTCCCATAACGGCATCGAAGTGGCCCGTCGCCGTGGCCAGGTGCTCCAGCCTCACCGCACGGATCTCATCGGGCTGAAAACAAAACGCAACACGACACAACAAAACAAAACAGCCCCGTCTATCAACCACTGTTGCGTACGGTGTCTGCACGTATGCACGTACCTCGAGTAGGCTTTGGAATCCTGATGCGTATGCGAAGCTCATGATGTGCAGTGCTGGCCCCCAGCCCATGTAGGCCGACTGGTTGAAGTAAGACAGGCTCTGACGCAGGTTGCGGCGCACCCCACGCAAACCCTTCGCACCTGTATGGACACAGATATATGCAAGCATGACAGCCACGAACACCCATTGATTGATGCACGTACGTGCGCACGTGATCGATCTATGGTACCGACCGAGCATATAGATGTCGCCCAGCTCGTAGAGCGCCTGCATCGCCACCATGTCCTCGCCAGTCACCAACTGATGGGACACCACATGTGACATGACAACATCCATCACAAAAGCACGGGAGTGAAATTATGCGATGTTTGTTTGGAACCCTCTTGCCCCTTCACGTCTTTGAGCAGCCGTGCCGCCCTCCTTATGTCTTTCTTTCGACCGTTCTCGCCATACCTGCACGACGTACACAGCCAGGCAGCCCACCCCCGTGTGACAATCCACCTGTTGCGTTGACACGTGTGTGTGGGCGCGTGTGTGTGATACTTGAACTCGATTGCCCTCGTGAGTTTCTGCAGTTTGGCAGCGTCGGCCTCTGCGAAAATCTCATCGACTTCATCTTCCTCCTCGCTGAACGACGGTAGATCCGTCTCGACCTCATCGGACTGATAACCAATCAACGCGATGAAGCAACACGACACAACAGGACACAGACAAGCAAAGCAGTGGGTGCCAGCTAGCAATGCCGGGCCGCAGCAGTGCGTGTGATTATGCACCTGTGATGGTTCCAGATCGTTGTCTGCCTCGCCGCCTACCAGACAACACGACAAACCACACAGAACTGGCGTACACGCAGATGAATGTATGCACCATGAATGTGTGCGTGTGGGTGTGCTGTACCTTCTGCAGGTGCTGCTGAGGCCTGGCATCTCCACAGCGGCGCCAGGCACACACTCAGGAGCAGTGAGATGAGCAACACGTCCAAACGACGCATGGCGGTGGAAGATCAAGCAGAGCACCTGGTAGGGACGACGCTCATGATGCAGCTGGTAGGGACGCGAAGCCTTCTCACTTCAGTTCGCAAGCAGGAGGATCAGTTTCACGCAAGAAAGCTCTAAATCGCGGACAGGAGGGAGGGCTTGAGACATGGACTGATAACCAAAGCCTCCCGTCTCCTGTTATTGCTGTGTTTGCACTGCGCCTCGTCTCCACAGGCGTCTGATGGCCAGTTGCTGTGGTCTGCGGGCAGGCGGGTTGGCGGCAGCGTGGTTGGCGTCGAGGGGCGAGGCGGCGGTGCTGCCGCCAAGGCATGTGTGCTGCTCTCATGGAAGGTGAGACGTGTCAATGCCGGCCAAGACGCCGAGCCCGGTGAGACATACAATCCTTCAGACACTTCCGGCTGCTGCCGGTGGTCGTGTGTAAGAGTTCATGCTGCCGCAAGAGACAGAAAGATATACTACGTCTGATCGTCGTTATCGTCCGCACGCCGCTGTGAAGTGTGCTGTGGCACAAACATCGACCGTGACGTGTTCTCTTTCAGGTCAGGCATGAGCTTCATCCGACTTCTATTCTCTGTTCACACGAGGGCAGCCAGTATGCACACAGAGACAGACACTCCTTGTGCCGTGTCAGTTCCTCAACACACACGGCACACCACACGGTCCTACGCCTACCGACCCAGAGCACACTCAACACACCATGAACCCGCCTATTTGTAGCTCTTGAGGAGTGTGCGCATTTCGTCACTCTGCGCCATGTCCAGGGGCGTCTTGCCCTGCATCACGCACACCCACAACAAATCAAGACATACGAATGGACTGACGGGGGCACTGCTCACAGCGTTGGTTTTCTCTTTCAGCTGCTTGACGCCCCCCCACTCGATCAACTGCTTGACCACTGCAATATGGCCATCTGAAACATCTTCTTCGCCTGCTGCTCTGTGAATCGGCAACAACCCTTCCTGACACAAAGTCAAACATCACGTCTGGCATGTGGCATCTACTCTTCACTTACACTGGTCCTCGCACTCAGCAGCGCTTTGCCGCCCGCAGCATACATGGCTTTCATTATCTCAATGCGGCCGTTGACCGCGGCAGTGTGGAAGGGAGTGGCCCCGCCCGCCTTCAGCAAGTGAATGAAAGTGGAGAGATGAGAGGCTCAGGTCACTGTAGGCCTACGGTGCATTTGTTGAGCTCGGCTCTTCCGCCCCGCTGGACCAATTGCTTGACTACAGCAACGTGGCCTGGAGAATCACCATCGACGCCAAGGACGCCCGCACCCGCTGCATGAATAGGATAGGCACCAACCTGCGTAGCACAGAACACGGGGACAGATGGGATACTATTCCCCATACCAATCCACGTGAGATTTCCTACTTGAGTACGCCGATCGAGTGCGTTTTCGTCGTCCCACTCGATCAGCTGATTGAGCGCGGCCACATGACCATTCTGGGCTGCGTAGTGGATGGGATATTTGCCACCCTGCATCCCGCACACAGCAGACGAGAAGCAATCACATGTTCTTTCACAAAGTATGTCTCGGCTTCTTACGTCTCCCTGCTGTTCGAGCAGCTTTTTCTCGCCCTTTGCGTACATCAATCGCGTCACATCGAGTTGACCACACAGTGCAGCAATGTGCAAGGGCGTCCTATCAAGCTGCAGCCATCAACCACAAGACCACAATATAGCCCCTTCGTTATTGCGTTGCATATCCAAGATGCCCTTACTTTGGTTCGTCGTTCGAGCTCTCCAAGGCCCCCCCAGGCGATGAGCTTATTGACCGCAGCAACATGACCCTTTTCAGCTGCATAGTGGATGGCGAAATAGCCGAACTGCACCCACACACACGTGCATCATTTGCACGGACAGGAAGCAGCAGATGTGTCTCTCCTCACTTTGTTCCGCTGTTCGAGCAGCGGCTTGCCCACCTTGGTGTACATCGCCTCCATCACATCGACGTACCCGCTCCATGCAGCGAGGATGAAGGGCGTGTCATCGTCCTGCATCCATACATAGCAAGAACACCCGCCAACAGATGCATTGCCCAGAGAAGAAGGTACCTCAACGCGTTTCTCAAGCTCGCCATCGCCGCCCCAATCCAAGAGCTGCCTCACCACAGCCACACGACCTGGAGTGTCAGCCTTTGTTGGATCGGTAGTGCCCACAGCAGCTGCATGGATAGGGAATCGGCCGAACTACACAGACATATACAAAGTAGTCGGAATTATACATGAGCAGTTTTGTGCGACTTTTACCTGTCCCTTCTGCTCGAGCAGCGGCTTGCCCCCTTTGGCGTATATCGCCCTCAATGCATCGAGGTGGCCAGGGATTGCAGCGAGGATGAAGGGTGTGTCATCATTCTGCAGCCATCAAACAGAGACACGATAACGAATGGAATCTGCCTGTCACTGGGGTTCCATTCCTCACTTTGTTCCGCTGTTCGAGCAGCGGCTTGCCCCCCTTGGCATACAGGGCTTCCATTACAGCGACGTGCTCGCCCCTTGCAGCGAGGATGAAGGGCGTGTCATCGTCCTGCATCCATACATAGCAAGAACACCCGCCAACAGATGCATTGCCCAGAGAAGAAGGTACCTCATCGCGTTTCTCAAGCTCGCCAAGACCGCCCCACTCCAACAGCTGCCTCACTACAGCAACATGACCTGGTTTACCAGCACGTAGCGTACCACCGGCAGCAGCTTTATGGATAGGGAATTGGCCCAACTACATGCAGACATACACATAGTAGTCGGAATTATCACTTTTATACGACCTACCTGTCCCTTCTGTTCGAGCAGCGGCTTGCCCCCCTTGGCGTACATCGCCCTCGCTGCCTCGACTTGACCAGCGAGCGCAGCCTGGAGGAAGGGTGTGCTACTGTCCTGCAACCATCGAACACAGGCGTAGCGGCACAATCGCTGTCGGTGTATTCTGCATAAAAAGAGAAACTCACGTCTCTGCGTTTCTCGAGCTCCTTTATGCCGCCCCATTCCAGCAGCTGATTGATCACATCGACATAACCCCGATCAGCTGCGATATGGATAGCGAACAAGCCCTCCTGGACACAAATGTACACAGCCAGAAACCAGGCGGTTACGGGAGCTTCCATTATGGAAGCCAAACGCCCCTACCTCCTCTGTTTGCTCCAGCAAGCGGGCTCCAGCCTTCTCGTACAGCACCTTCATCACAATCGGATGACCTTTCAGAGCTCCAAGAATGAAAGGGGTATACGATGTCTGCCACAACCGGAAGAACAGATCAAATCTCATAATGTCCAGATACCAAGGCCATGAACAAGAGCCTACACTATCACGTTTGTCGATTTCCTCAGCGGATTCCCATTCAAGCAGCTGCCAGACTGCGGGAGCGTGACCCTTCTCAGCGGCGTGATGGAGTGCCGAGAGACGAGAACACTATAATGGAAACAAAACAAGGCCACTATATTGCAGCCATTGTTGCTTATCTTTCTTCTCACCACTTCCTTCTCTTTGATCACCTCCGGGCCCAGCCTGTCGCGGATCGTTTTCAGAATGTCGATACTGCCCCCCCTTGCGGCCCAGAGGAAAGTGGATGAACCAACCTGTGACAGATACATAACAAACCGAGACAACGGGATATGCCGCCTGTGTCCCATTATGTGTGTCCCATTACTCACATAGTCCCTCTTGTCTATTTGCTGGATTCCGCCAACATCGATCAAGTAATTGAACGTAGCAAGGTCTCCACTCAGGGCTGCCTCGTGGATGGGAAGCGTACCCCACCCATTCTTGTGCTGAAAAATGTGTCCTGTGTTGCATATAATCTCCTGAGTCGCATATCTTCTTCATCTCACCCAGCGCTTGTCGAGCTCAGCTTTTCCTCCCCACTCAATCAATTGCTTGACCACATCAAGATGGCCCTTCCAAGATGCAGCGTGGATTGCATATCCTAAGCCCTATAGCACAGAGAGAGGACCAATCGAATCTATTGGCCCCTGATCCGTCTTATAGGACTTACCTTTCCCTTCTGTTGGAGCAGCGGCTTGCCCCCCTTTGCGTACATCGCCCTCAACGCATCGAGGTGGCCACAGCATGCAGCGAGGATGAAGGGTGTGTCATCATTCTGCAGCCATCGACCACAGCCAGGAGAACGCATGGAATCTGCCTGTCACTGGGGTTCCTTTCCTCACTTTGTTCCCCTGTTCGAGCAGCGGTTTGCCCCCCTTGGCGTACATGGCCTCCATCATATCGACGTGCCCGCCCATTGCAGCGAGGATGAAGGGTGTGTCATTGTTCTGCAGCCATCAAGCACATAGACCACAAGATAGCCCTCTCGTCATTGTGGGAAACCTGGGACCTTGTTTCGTTTCTCAAGCTCCTTTGTGCCTCCCCACGCCAACAACTGGTTCACAACAGCAACATCGCTTTTCCCAGCAGCCATGTGAATAGGAAAACGGCCGGCCTACATCACAGACAGAGAGCAATGCATCGAAACCATGTAGGGGATCAGTTTTTGTGCAACTTACAGGTCCTTCTTCCACGCATTCCAGCAATGGCTTGCCCTTGAATGCATAGATCGCGCGCATCACATCGAGTTGATCATACCCTGCGGCATCGTGAAAAGCAGTGGAATCGTACTGCAACCACACAAAACAAGACGGCCGCAGATCCATAATAGATCACGACGTCTCATATCTTATCTCTGAGCGTTGTCAACATATCGATCCCTCCCAGCTCCACGAGAGCCTTCACGACTGCCACATGACCCTTCTCGACCGCAATATGCAACACAGTAGGCTCGCACTTGTAGGAATCAAAACTGACGTCTCAAGACAAGTCTCGTTATCGGCCATCATATATGTTGGCTCACCTGTACGATTGTCTTCTTTTTGATAAGGTCTGTGCCCCCTTGGGCGACTATCTCTTTGACGATGTCCACGTGGCCGTTCTGTGCGGCGTAGTGGAGCGCTGTGAAGCCCTCCTGCAATACACTACACGCTTTCGCAGCGTTGTGGACAACTTTGTAGTGTAGTGTCTCACCTCGTCGGTTTCCTGCAGGCATTCGACCCCGTTGACGCTGATAACTCGCATGACAGCATCCCTATTGCCTTGTGCGCAGGCTTCGAAGAGGGTCATCTACAAGAATGGATAGTCAACTATACTGTACAGGGAGCGCCATTCAGTGAGTGAATGCATGTCACCGACCTCCTCCGTTGCGACCGGTAGCACATCTTGACCTGAGACAGAAATGGGAACACATGAGTGGCCCACACAGTCTTCGTTTTTGATTCGCTACCTTTCTCGGCCACAATCGGCTGGCTGCAGCGCCACAGGGCCTCCATTGGGACGCTCTCGTGTTTCTTTGCCATCATCAGACCGCTGCCCTTGCCGGCAGTCTGGACGCTCATCATGTGATCTGGCAGCCCGACACACTTGATGGTCACCGTTTCTTCATCGAATTTGCTGCTACCCCTCCTTTCCTCCGTCCCCTGCCCGGATTCCATGTCGGTGGATACGGGCAGCTGATCTCTGCAGGGCTGACAGCAGAACAGGCTGCACCAGCCTCCCTCTGTCGTCGGCTGCACAATGTCTTGCGTCTCTGTTGCCACCATGGTCCATTGCTCATATTTTGCCTCTCCCTTGCAGTCTTTGCAGTCTGTCTTGGCAGTTGGGACATTGAGGACAAGCTTGTTGTCCATCAATGGACTCACCGCCAGCGTCTGATCAGGAAATGCCTTTGGCACCAGACGGAAAGCGCCTTTGGGGCAGAATGTGTCGATTTGCCGAATCCATAGCTGCGAGGGATCGGCCTCTTCATGCGGCTCACGGCTCACTTTTTCTTGAAGCGCGACCGACGTGCCACGGGCCATGGTCTCCACTACCGTCAAGACGAGCTTCGTGGTGAGGTTGTTGAGACGAAAGGGCTTCTGCTTGGCTTCGATGTTTGCCACCTCGAGAGTATCAGTAAGGAGCGACACATACGGCGGATTGGCCTGGAAGAAGGAACAGAGAGACATAATAGCGAAATGAAAGCGTTCGCGCATGTATTGTCTGGTCCTCACCCTTCTGAGCGCGATGGCGTATTGGTGCTCTTCTGGGTGTATGAGTTGGTTGAGCAGCTGAAATCTGGAGTCCTCAATGAAGATTGATATGTATGGGGAGTCGAAGCTCGACAAAACGGCTTCCTCGCCGGGGTCAATTGTCGTCCTGATGGAGGGGGAGAGAGAGATTCTGACACAGCTGACACACTCCCAGACGTCAGTTGTTTCTCACCAGTCGCGTGACTCCTTCAGTTTGCCGTACTGAATGCAAACAAAGCTCTTTTCCTCCGTCTTCTCACCTGTGAACAACGCAAAGGAAAGTGCCCTGTGCGTCTCCTGCAGCCTCTCACATACATGTTTCTTTGCCCCTGTTGGCCTCCAGGCCGATCTCCAGACCACCAATTTCAGCTTTGACGCCGCCCCCCAAGGTCATCTTCTCGTCCTTTTCCGTGGCCTTCTCGATTTCCTGCTCAACCATCTTTCGCTCCCTGGCCTCCACCACGCGAACATGCGCCCTGGGGGATGAAGTGAAGCATGATCGGAGGAGTCTTCTTCACTCTTCTTACCGGCTGAGGGCATTGTTGCGAACACGGAGGCTCAACTTGCCGCCGGGAGAGGCCATCCTTCCCCGCTATAGGCCACTAGGCTCAGATCTCTCCATCGTTCGGCTTGGGGGCGGAGGGGGGCTGCATGCATGCCGAGCTCGCGTCGAGAGAGGGGTTCATTGCGTTCAACTGGTCTCCGCATCCAGTGCATCAATCCACGAGCACACATACATCACTTCCAAAGCACGGCAGGGAAAAGATTCGATTACATGGATGAAGCCAAAGCGAACGTCAGAGCAAGCAACAGGCAAAACGCTGAACCCGCTCGTGCGTGTCCTCCTGTGTGCACCTGCCCCCCCGCCCTGCATCCCTGTCCTGTCCGTCCACTGCACTGCTACATGACTGCACTGCCAATGACAAACAACACAACACATTCACGCCATGAACATCCATCACACGCACAAAACTGCTCAAAAAGGGTAAGTAATGTACACACACTCGTACGTGTCATGTGTACGCAGCATGGATGGTTGTGATGGTTCGCGCCCGCGTGGGCGAATTGTGCAATCCAATCCAGTCATAGAGCTTACACGTATGCCGTCACACAGCGAGCGACATACACAGATCAGTCATCAGTAGTCAGTGTGCTTGTCGGACTAAAAGCACATTGCGTATTCTCTCACACACACGGACAGCCCTCCAGACATGCTTCAAAAACGACGCACGGAGGGCAGGCAGACAGCCAGGCAGGCAGGCAGGGCGGCTATACAGCACACCCGGTGGCCATGAACACGGCATGGGATTATGTATGTATGGATCTGCAGATGCACCACATGCGCCATGCATCGCATCGACAGGGCTGTAGAATCATGCATCGACAGGGCTGTACATTTGGCGGAGCACAGCCAGCTCATCAAACACCACCCACTCCTCCACCACACGAGACCCCACAATCCGGGCATGTGTGATGCCCAGCACAAACACCTCCTTGTGTGTGGGTGTGACCCCCTCCCACTGCAGGGGGCTGCCAGGCGATACCATCCCACTGTGTGTGCCCACCACTCCCCACCGCACAGCCACATCTACCCCTCCCCCCGCCCCCCCACTGCTACGGACATAGTCAGTGCTCACACTAGTGGTCGACTCGAGCGTGACGATCTCCAGCTCCCCTTCCTCCGCGCCTCCCATCCCTTCCCCTCCCTGGCGGAGGAAGGGCTCGACGCCTCGCTGCCAGATCCGGCAGACCCCTCGCAAGTGGACTGCTTGTCCGATGAGGGTGGCATGTACGGCACGCTCGACACGTGGTCCACGCGCATGCTGGCGTCGGGGAACACGCTCCACATGGCGGCGAAGAACGCCTGGATGTCCTTGACGCCGGTCAGCACCTTGCCGCGCGGGATGGCCATGCAGGAGTGGGTGTGGTAGAGGGGGGCGAGCATGCCGGTGTCCTTGGAGTGCCAGGCGAGTGTGAGGAGACTGACGTACCAGTCGACCTCACCGCCCACCGACACGGCACGCACGGGAGGGGGATGGAAGGGCGGGGGAGGGGGGAAGGCGGACTGCTCATTGCCCGTCGCCTCGGTGGCTGTGGCGGCCTTGTCGATCTCTGATCGGATGTATGAGGCCAGGGGCGGCGGGTAGGGGGCGGCAGCCAGCTGACGAGCGGTCTCGTGGACGTCCTTGCCCAGCTGCACCAATATGGCCGAATTGTCACGGGCCAACCTGAGGGGGAGGGAGGGGCACCCAGGCAGCAGAGGCCAATGGAATAAGGCAAGGCAACCGCCTTGACACACGGTGGGGTGGGGATCTTTCCCTGCCGGCCTTACCACTCGAGGTATATTTTGTTGTGTCTGATGCAGCAGTCGGCAATGGTCGTCACACGCACCTGACGGCCGGTGGCCGCGCCAAACAACTTATCGTCGCCATCTGAGCAGACACAACACAGCACAACACAACACATGTACGTCTTCCCACTACAAAGGCTCCCTCCCTCCCTCCCTGAGCCCGCGCCTGACCGTGTGTCATATGTGAGATGATCTTGTGGGACGAGTAGAAGCCGTCCTCACAGGCATCGCTACCGCTCCAGATGACGTTGGCGGGGTACATGGTGCGGTCGGGCCAGGCCGCCAACATGCGGATGGTGCCCCGCACCACCGGCTCGACGCCCACCGTGACGCCGGAGAGGCTGTACACGTCACAGCTGTCCGAGTAGGTGTCGTAGATGAGGCTGAGGTCCTTCCTCTCCCAAATCTCGTGGGTGATGTTCAAAATGTAATTCACAATATCCACATACCTGCACAGCACACATCATGCCATGCCATCACCAAAGTGAGTGTGGTGGACCTGCCTTTGTTTGTCGGTTCGTTTGTTGTGTGCTTCAGACTCACTCACTTGTCATCGAAGCCCTCCATGGAATGCCGCTGCTTGCCCGTCTGATGGATGACGGCGTCGATGTCCGCGGGAGAGTAAGCCGACACGAGCGGTATCGTACTGGGCTCTGCCTCAGTCACTACGCCACGGTCCTTGCCGCCACATTGCTCTTTTTTGCTGACAGCACGAAGGCCTTCAGGCCTCGCAGTGTAGGCGAGGGCCATCACGATGCAGGCTGGTGCGCTGATGAACACAGCACCAGAAGACACCAAGATGAGGGAGCTCTCCTCCCTATCCACTAAGACCAGGGATGGGGGGTGGCTCACGTGGGGAGAGGAGGATCTGCACACGCGAGGTCACCAGACGCTCCAGCTCCAGAATGTTTTACGGTAAAGGCGATCCCCTGGGGAGACGCCCCTCTCTCCTCTCCATTTGTAGCTCGCACTCCTTTGCGTGGCTCCTTTGCGAGCGCGAGTTGTTGAGAATGGTCACTCACCTCTCAACGCCGCCAATATGCTGTCAGCAAAGCTCTGCACGGCATCGCCAACACGACCCGGGCGGCGTCACCTGAGAAGCATAGCTGATGAATGGTCTTGAACCTTCGCGTTCGTGATAGACAAGAGCTCACATCTACGGCAGCTGCAGGTAGGCAACCCTTTTGCAATTCATCTGGGGAGAGCATCTTGGACTATTCCTCTCCCCTGTTGTTTGTGTGTTTGCCTTGTGCAGATCCGATGACTCAAGACGTGTCCGGTCGATCGCCCTCGAGCAGGGACGACTCATCGCCATCGAATGCGCCCATGAGCCTCACCAGCCCAGATGCACTACCTCTCTACACCCTCCCGGCAGTCATCACCGATGTCCAGCGGCCCCCCATGACGGCACCACACGCACTCGTGGGCATGATGCCCTCCACTGAGGGCGGCGACAGCCCCGCGTCATGCCACAGCAAGAGCACCACATCTACCCTCATCCACGAGGCCCCCCTGCTGGCGTCGATCAGCGTAGATTCCCCGCATTCGCCGGTGCGCGCCAAGGTGTTGGGAGTAGGGACGGCGCAGCGGGGCGGCTGGTCGCCTGTGGTGGTGTGTGCTCCGACGCTTTCCTCGGGGGGCGATGGCGTGTCGGTGTGGAGCCACGGGCAGTTCCACAGGCCCCAGTCGGCACAGCAACAGCACCAGGGGCTGACGGCACAGATGGCCTCTGCTGCAGTGGGCCTCTCGGCTGGCGACGGGAGCGTGCCGTCGGTGGTCCTGCCCTCTTCTCCAAGTCAGGGCGACTGGATGGAGGAGCTTCCCCCGTCCCCGCCGTCCCCCTCGGCCTCCCCCCTCTCGCCCCACACCGCTGGCGACAGCCCCCAGTCGCCCTCGGTGGCGTCACAGAACATCTACCCGGCACGCATACCCGTGCGGCGCGGATTCATCCATTTCTCCACTTCAGACACCTCACGTGCCGATCTTCGGTGGGACGCTTGCGTGCAAGGGGAGGGAGAGGGTGAGGGTGAGGTGCCTGCGTCGTCTGAGGATACCCTGCAGGCGTGTCTGCACCGGTACGTCCATGAGGATGAGCAGAAGGGAGTTAGGGTGGGGAGAGAGGGTAGTGGGAAGCGGTCCGAGAGCTGCCCCCCCATGAGTGTGCTGCGGTTGGGGGGGACGGTGCTCAACATCGGGTCGATGCACCATGTCGACGGAGATAGGCAGTGCCCCAACAAACGGTGTGTGCGACAATAGATAGAATAACACGGACTTCTGCCTTCTCATGCGTATCTTCTGTCTGTCTGTCTGTCTGTCTGCGTGCGTGTGTGTGTGTGTATGGGTGTCAGGTGTTATTGGTTCTCCACCAAGGGCGGGTGCTGGAAGGGCCGCAACTGCGACCACTGCCACCTGTGTCTGCCGCGGCCCAAAAAACGCATCTACAGACCACATACACATATGGGCCGACCCCGTATGCACACCGGTAAGTACAGTGAACCAGCCACCCAACCGCATGTATATGCATGCCATGCCCCACCCACTCACTCCTGTCTGTCTGCCTGTGTTGCCATCAGGTTATTCATCCTTCTATCGTCGGTTCCCTCCGTTCCGCCCCTCTTCGCTGCCCACACAGGACGGCCGCGCCATAGCAGTCATCCGTCCCCCACACGAGCAGCAGGCCCTCACCGATCGACACGCAAGCTGGCCCGGCCCGCTGCGGGCGGTGCCACCTCCGCCTCCGCCATATCCGCCATCAGCCATTTCCGCCCCGCTGCCGCTCGTCGTCCCACAGTTCGCTGACCTACTGCAGCAACAGAAGCAGCAGCAGCAGGAGGGTGTAAGGCACACACAGCATGGGGAGTGGCATCATGACTACCATGGGGGCGGCTGGCTGGAGAGATAGGGGGGGGAATGGGTGGTGTTTGTCTGGTGTGTGTAGTGTTCTTTGATGAAGGTCTTAAGAGATGGAAGCATGTGTGTGCGAGTGCGTGTGCGTACGTGTGTGGACGTCTACGTCTATCTGGCTGTCTGGCTGTCTGGCATGTACGTACGTGTGTACGTGTGCATTGGTTCATGGTGCAGTGCAGGCCAGGCCGTTCCTGCCTTCTTTGATAGAGATAATTTTGTGGTGGGGCTCATCTCGTCAGATCAGCATATATACGACACGCTGCGTTCATTGTAGTGTGCCTCTATCTGTCTGTGGCTGGCTTCACGGCTGCACGGCTCCTTTATTATACATGTGTGTATGCACGACCTTTGATGCCCTCACGGATGGCTGGATGGCTGGATGGTCTCTCTGGGTGTGTGCGCAGCACAGGGAGGTGCGGGGAGCCCTCACTGTAGGTGTGCATGTCTGTCTGTCTGTCTCTATCTGAGTCCATCTGGTGCGGCCGTGAGCGACTGTGTCGTGAGACCGTGGAGACATACCTACACAATGCATACATACGGGAATACACACGGGGGTGCATAGCACAGCACAGCACAGCACAGCATGGATGGACGTGCGGAAGAGGATGATTGCGTGTGTGGATGCATTAGAGAGGGGGAGGGAGGGCAGAGGGTGGGAGGGATGGACACATGCATAACAGACACGAGCATACGCTGCCGTCAAATCAGATGCTCGTCACGCTGTATGCGACGTTTTGCCCGGTCCACAATTCAATGCTTTCAGCTCAGCTGTCCTCGGCCTCACTCAATTGTCACTGTCCACACACAGCCATGAACCACACACCGCCCCGCCGCCACTGCAAACCGTCCGTCCGTGTGTGGAAGACGGAATACACATCAAGAGGGCGGGCACTGGTGCTTCGCACGCACCGCCATGGGATGGACACACACGCGCACGTAGTATTGCCATACCCCAACACAACTTCTCCCACCCTGTGAGCCGTCAGCCACCAAGTGGAGGCACTAGACCGAGCGGCTATATCTCTCTCTCTCTCTCCAGCACACATAGCATTTTGGGGGTGTTTGCTGGATCTGCCCACCACCTCGTTCTCCATGCAGTGGTCAAATGCCGATAACGAGGAGGAGGACGAACCAGCTGGCCAGCACTCGCCCCAGCATGCGCCGCTCAGCACACTGACACGCACACAGTGTTCGATGAATACCACGTACAAAACACCAGCCGTCCGTCGCCCCCTCCGCACCGTCAGCAGCGTTAAGGTAGGTAGGGTGACCCACCATCGACCGCAACAACAAATACCACACAGGGAAACAAACCAGTCTAGCCGGTCACACACACACACATACACGCGCACACACACGCACACAGCGACTCGCTGTCACAGCACCGCCCCCGTGCTATGCAGCGGCCGACAGGCTCAAAAATGCAAAACTGGCACATTGCCATACATACACACCCGGTGGGTGCGGTGGTGTGTGAGGTGATGCTGCACTGTAGGTGTGGCGTTCTCGCTGCCGTGTGAGACACCAAAAAGTCATCACAGCTCGAACTCTTCGTTCTCGTAGGTGATCAACTGCCTGAAGGTCTCTGTGGCGGCACAAGCGTCCTTGACGCCCTCCACCAACGACATCGGACCGCACACCAGACACTTGACCTGCACACACACATCATACCGATAGTGCGCACACATGAATCCCTGGCTGGCTGGCTATGTCGCCGTGTTTGTGTCTGTCCTCACCTTCTTGAGCGAGCCGGTGTTTTGCACGTCGCGGGCCATCTGCTCGGTGACCGTTGCGGCGAGTATGTCAGGGAGGGGCGGGCGGCCCTTGTGGATGCAGTCCTCGATGCGGGTGGGAGTGGGGGTGGCGCCGCTCCGTGTGCTGCTCGCTGCACCGTGGGCCGACCGGTCGCTGAGGTTGCTGCTGGCCTGAGGCTGCTGCTGCTGCTGCTGTGCCGCTGCTGCTCCTACCGAGGGGGGGGATGGGTCTGTCTCGGTCAGTGTGACCCAATTGCCAGCGCGACGACGCTGAGACACAGACAGACAGACAGGACAGGGGAGGATGGGCACCTGACTGCGGTGCACGCCATGCCGGCCGGCCTACCTTTGGGATGTTCCATATGAATGCCAGCCCGAATGTGATGAGAGTGGACACCACACCGGCCACCAAAACCAGCACAAACTGAATCACATAGGGATACCAGCGGCAGCTGCACACGCACACACACACACACACACACACAAGACAGACACATGGAGAGACAGAGGGAGAGACATCGCTCACGCCCCCTCCCTCCTGTGGCCTATTGCTGGCTCACTTGTTGTCGACGTCGTTGAGCCACGGGCCCATGCCCTCCTCCATGAGTCGCCACCGGGCGGCACACACATAGTGGTCCAGCTTGTCGCTCCCTACTGCCGCTATCAGGCCCAGCACCGCAGTCAGCACCGCCACCAATGTGGCGCAGAAACCACGGGTGAGCTGATTGGCCGCGATGGCTTTGATGGATGTGGGGTTGTAGGAAGAGCACTTGGCACTCTCAGATGCGAGCGTCTCGCCCAACTTGGACTCCGTCTTGTCTGGAACACACAGAGAGATACCGGGGGGAGTGGTGTGTGCAATGCATTGTATATGTGGGTGTTGCGATGCTGCGTACGTACCATCGGGAATGTGTGAGGGTGGGGGTGCGTTTTCCTTGGGCCGTGTCCAGTAGATCTGGAGGTCAAACAGCCCTGAAGGCAGCACCTCCATGGCCTCCTCAAGCACACGCTACACACACACAGAGTACATAACAGACAGAGATGACCATACCATCCCCCCAAAGGTGTGGTTTCTTTCCCCCGCTCTCACCCGGAAGACTTCTACGTCGGTCAGCTGCCGCACGGCCCACACGAACCTGATGCGCTGCAGCGACTGCAGCTCGCTCGGCAGCTGGTCGTGCTCGGACGGCGTCACGCTCTCCTCGTCGCCCTTGGTCGGCCGCTGGGCCTTCTTCCACTGGGCGACGATCTCTGTGAGTCGGCTGATCATGGGAGTCACGCCGAGGCCGCCCGCCACCAGCACCAGGGAGGGGTACTTCCACAAATCCTCGCTGATCAGGCCGTACACACCGTCCACACGGGCAGGCACCAACACCTGATCGACGCAGCGATCCGCCCCGCCCATCAATCAAACACAGTACTGACACAACTAGGGGCGTGCATTTTGCTCACATCGGTTCCGTCTTCGATGGCCTTTTGTTTCTTCTCTGCGAGGTACTTGCCCAGGTTGGACGACCAGTCGCCCAGCTCGCGGATGTAGAGTGTGAGGTAGCCCTGGCCGCTGGCCTGGGCGGGGGAAGAGGCGATGCTGAAGGGGTGCCACTCGAGGGCGCCCATTTCAGGAAAGTTGATGTACACCCAGTGGCTCCCGGATGACGTGTGGGGACTCAGCTGGCCGACCGGCACGTCCACACGCACCACTGAGGGAGGGACAGACAGCCACGCAGCCAGGTGTGGTGCCGAGGCGAGTTTGTGGTGCCGTACCTGTGGATCCATCTTTGGCTGTGCCTGACGCGGCATTGGTATCGGCCGCCACAGGCGCTGAGATGCGCACCTTGACGATGTCAGTGTGGCCTCGAAGCCTGCATACACACATTGATGGTGAAGAGGTGCAGCACAACAGACAGACAAGAACAAGCAGGCTGGCACCATACATACCATGATGCGGTTCTCTCAGCGGCGTAGACGACAAGTCCCGGCAGCCAAATCCACATTTGAACCTGACGCGACACCACACATCACGCATGGCCGAAGGTGCATTGTGTGGGTGGTGGCTGTGTGTGGGTCTGTGCGCCCACCGACCCACCCACCGGCATGTGGCAGACGCCCAGTAGGAGTGCCGGCAGGAAGAGGTAGTGCGTGTTCTTGAACACACCCCACCGGTGACGACGGACAACCTCCAGAGACGTGAACGCTGACAGACAGACAGACAGACAGACGCACACACACAACACGCACCAATCAATCACCCGACCACGACTCAGCCCATCCATGCCATATATCCCGATTTGCTTTCATCCTTACCGATGCCGAGCATGCATAGGAGTGAGAGAAGACCACAGAAGTTGTAGACGCCTTGCATGTTGATCCAGGCGGGCAGTGGAGGGCCGTCCGGGTGTGGGCTGGGGCGCCCATGGTGGCCGTAGATGTGACTGGGGATCGGGAAGTGATGACGGTGGATGGGGAACTGCAGCCACATAGACACCCAAGCGTCAATCGGCTTCCTCGTCTGCTGTCTTGCGTGCATCCTCCAGCTCAGCTCACTCACCTGTTCTTCCATAAACTTCCAGCCTCCCGGTGAGTACCCAAACAGCCAGACGGCCCAGTAGCCGAACCCTGACACAGCCGCAGACCAACCACTGGCGATTCGATCTGTCTTCTCTCTTTGTTTGTCTGCCTGGCTGCTGCCCTGCCCTGCCCACCATGTAGAGAAGCGAACCAAATGCCCACCCACCCCAGCGCCTTGTGGAAACGCAAGCCTGATAGATACCCCACAGACAGACCAGCACAAGGGTCAGAGTCCTCTTAAGAGTGCCAATGCCTGCACGAGAGCTGAGCTACCCGGACACCGACTCACTCACCTTTCTCGTACGGGATTCCAAGCAGCCTCAGGAAGAAGCCATCGCGGCACGCGGGCAGCATCAACAGGCCAAAATCAACCTGACCAAGGCCAAAATCGACGAAGAGCAAAATTGACGAAGGGCAAAGCAGAAGGGCATCTGTGTACCTACCATGCACGCAAAACCCATGGTGGTACATAGAAGGGCAAAGAAGTCCCGGGGCGTCCTGCCGATGTCCAGTTTGGTGCCGTAGACAATCAGCAGTGGGACCAGCAGCAGGTGGGCGTTGATGAAGATGGCTGAGGCCCACAGGCAGATCTCAGCCGGCGTCAGGGCACGGCCGTTCATCGGAACAGGATACCTGCGCACACACAGACGCACATACGGTGCATGCAAAGCCCGCGCCGATGGGCATGATGCGTGTGGTGCGTGCAGTTGGTACCGTTTCTTGCAGAATCCGGCCATCCATCTACTGAGCGGCTTGGCCTGCCGCCGCTGCCTGAACTTGTCATCGTTGATGGCCCTATGCTTGAGTGCCTCGCGCAGCTGCCATATGATGTACAGCACCGGCGGCAGAATCGCAAACAGCTTGGTGGCCACGTCGCGGCCGCCAGCCAGCAGGGCTTCCACAGGGAAGGCCCAGACGAGCACCGTCACAGTGGCGAGGACGCCGAACACCAGCTTCAGAGGCGCGTCCAACCATTCAAGCGCCGTCATGGTCGCTATTGGCTCCGATGCGTGCGCACAGACGCCCTACCTCTCGAGGGGGAGGGTAAAAAGCGCGTCTTTCGACTTAGCTCGCAGCTAGGGGAACCGTGAAACTGCGTCGAAGGGGAACCGATTTTGCGCAGCCGGCTTTTGGAAATGAAGTCGTTCGGAGCGCTCGTGCTTCTCTCGATCTGCACCATCTGCAACGGCTTTGTTGCCCGCGCTCCTGTCGGCCGCCTCCGGGCGCCGCACCGCATCACCATGATTGCCGTGGGTAGGTCAAGAGCGAAGCCCAGCAAGCGACCACCACTGCATGGCAGTTATGTTTGAGTGCGTGTAGGCGACACTCTGCCGAACGTGTCGGTGAAAGTGGCGGGTGAGGTGAGAGGCATCCTGGATCTCTTCGCCAACCAGCGCGGAGTGCTCTTTGCCGTACCGGGTGGGTAGGACACACGAGCCAGGCACTCAATCAATGCCATTGCGACGCTGCACTGCCCCCTTTTATCGTGCGATGATTGCAGGTGCTTTCACGCCGACTTGCAGTGAGAAGCATTTGCCTGGTTTTGTGGAGCAGTCGGCGGCCATCAAGGGCAAGGCACCCTTCGTCGGCTGTGTGGCCGTCAACGATCCATTCGTGCTGGACGCCTGGGCCAAGACCGTCAACGCGCCCACCTCGGCCGTCACCATGATCTCGGATGGCAACGGCGAGTTCACCAAGGTTGGTATATATGCATATTCACGCATCCATACCACACACACACACACACACACACACACATGAGAACACTCTGTCTGTCTGTATGTCTGTATTATCTTGTGTGTGTGTGTGGTCCACCCACCAGGCGATAGGTATGGAGATGGACGCGTCTGGCAATTTCCTGGGGACCCGTTCGAAGCGCTACGCCATGATCATCGCCCCCGGCGGGCGGGTCGAGTGGATCGGAGAGGGCGATGACGCATTCGCCAATGTGGTCATGTCCAAACTCTGAGCCGCCGGGCCAGCCAGCCATCAAGCGGTTCGACATTCATTCATGTGTGGTGGGTGTTTTTTCCGTCCGTCAGTCACTCGATCAGTCAGTTGATGAGACTGACACAGACAAAGACAGCAGAGAGAAAGAGGAACAGCGACAAAGACAGACGGGCAGGTTAGAGGCAGGCAGACGCGACACTTGGTGTCAGTCAGAGTTTTCGAGTTTTTGCGGCCAGTGAACAGAAGTCGATTCGACCAATAAGTTTGGTGACGGAGTGGCGTATGGATGGATGGATGTATGGATGTGTGGACGCGTGCCGTGCCGTGCCGAACGGGCTGGGGGCAGACAGGGAGGATGAGAGCGTTTGTCAAGTGAATTGGACGGACCCATGTATGTATGTCTGCTGATGATGATCATGTCAACAAAGAGTCCCCTCCCCCCCCCTTTCTCTCTCCCCCGTGTGACTGAACAGCACACCAATACCCACCCACCCGCCCGTATCCGTCCACATATCCCTCT